TAAGAACGAGGCTTTTTTTTTTAATCTAGGATAAATTTTGAACACAAATAAATGGTTTCGATTAAGAATATATAGCATTGAATTATAGTTTACCATATACATTATATTTGATATTTTTTATGATAAGTTAGATATTTGTCTTCTAGTACAGCTTACCATAGATATCTTTTCGTTTGTTGTTCTTTCTCTTTATTATTCTTTCCATATCCTTGTAGTTTATTTGATTCTTTCCCAACGGTTTTAACAAATATTCTCAGTTTCTAAGAGTTTGGTTTGGGATTGAACACAGAGCACGGGAGGAAGAAAGAGGAAAAGGGAAAATGAACGGGATGAGGAGAAGCCTAAAGGAGTGATTCATGTGAGAGCAAAACGAGGCCAAGCTACCGACAGTCACAGCTTAGCGGAAAGGGTAAGCTATTTTTTGTTCTAGTGTCGTCAATAGTCTACACCTTTATGAGCATGTCTATTTCACTTAACCCCTTTTCGAAATAATCCCAAATTGTAACACCTTTTGTGTGGGTCGCCCAGTAGAGTGTTTTCACCATCTATGTTCTTTTCGATCTCTACAGACCCAAGTATATGCTTCAACAGGAATTAAACAATGTAGATTGATAGAATAGAAACCTCTAGTAAAATGCCCACCCATAACAAATAAAGTACATTACATAGTCCATTTTAGGGAGTGACGACTTACCCATTCAATGGCTTTGGCACTAGACGTTCCAAAAATGGCGTACTATCGAGTCGGGTGAATTCAATAATAGACGCATGTTGACATTCCAACCTTCTTCTCCTTTCAAGGCCTACTCGAAAGAGAATCTAGTATTTCTTGGTCGTGAATACTGAATAAGACGAACCGCCCCATGGTTTGCTTCAAAACAAAACAATTAGAATTAGGCTCGTTGAACTGGAATGTGTATTATCCATATAGGGGATCTTTCAATGAAGAAGATCGGACCTAAGATAAAAGAGAAGGATCTATCTATTTTATTTAGTTATTCACTTGGACCAATGATTGATCAGTTCCAGCGATGTTTTATTATAAACAACCAATATTTTATATTTAGGAAAATTAATTAAAGATTTATTAATTGCAAATATAGGTAAGAAGAGAGAAAATAAACCAGAGGCTGAGATTCTTACAGGACTTGGTTCCAGGATGCTACAAGGTAATCCGACAACTAACATAAAATATATATTTATTTTTTTTTTTTACTTTTTAAAAAAAAAAAATATATATATTTTTTCAGACAATGGGAATGGCAGTCATGTTAGATGTGATCATAAACTACATCCAATCTCTGCAGAATCAAATAGAGGTAAGTTTAAATGATTAGTTTTTAAAGTTTAAACTTCAATTTAAAAAATAAAAATTATTTTCCAAACCCGACAAAATAATTAAATTTATATGTAAAACTCGGGAAAAAAGTGTTTATAACCTTCGATTAAATATGATATCATTGCATGAATCTTGAACATTAGGTTAATCCATATTCTTTGTGTTTTTTTTTTTTTTCAAGTTCCTCTCAATGAAGCTTTCGGTTGCTAGTCGGTACTATGACTTCAACAACAGCTCCGAGACCGATGAGATTGAGATAATGCAGGTACGAACTATTGACAAAGGTTCATGTACTTTCGAGTTTTGTTTCATTCGGGATTTGGAGTTAAAAAAGAAGCTTATATTTGAGAGAGTTTTGCAGGCAACAAATGGGTGTGGTTACATGGAAGAGATGGGCGGGAGGGTTGTAGTTAGAGAAGAAGAAGGGAATGGAGGGTCCTTTTACCACCACTCTACTTTGCCACCTCTCTAACTTCAATACAATCTTTACTCGCAAACCATAACTTTTATTTATTCAACTTATAATGTTTTATAATTTGTTCCAATCCAAACATTATACTATAATATGTAAGCGTGACATTAAATATAAACTAAACGTATCGTTTCCATTTAATTAAGGTTGTTTTAATGTTCCAAAAGTATAGATATGATAAACATTTCACGATTTTCGGTCCAATTTAACATGTTTTAGACCAATTAAGGTTGCTTTTGACTTGGCTCAACTCGATTCAATTAAATTTTTTTATTGTTTAGTGAATTTCGAGCCTAGTTCATAGCGGTTCTCTTCGGTTTAGCTTGATTCAGCTGTCTTTCTCACTGTTTCATACCAGTTTATCAATATTTGTGTCCAATTCAGGTCAATTTCTTCAATTTAAGCCAAGTTTAATGTTCTCCATTCGATTTGAATTGTCTGTCTAGTAGGATTTCGTGAGTTTTAAGGATTATGGAAGGGATAATGGCTGGTGATACGGAACTTCACTAGGTTAAATCCAAAGCGTTTATTAACTAACATAAATTTAAAATTATTGCAATTCGCTAACTGGGTAAGTTTTGATTAGTAATGATTGTTCTTATGTTTTTCATGTTTCAATTAAGTGTTTAATCAAGTTTTAAGGTTGAAACTTAGTTTTGGATGATTTGAGTTTAAGCAATTAAGGCTTTAAAGGAGGATCATTTAAGTAATTCTCGTTTTAAATCTACGAGTTCATCTCATCATGTATTCGATTTATTAATTTCTTTAAAACTTACTTTAGCATGGAGTTGATAGCTCGTTGAGCTTGCAACTAACGTAAGTAATTTTACTGTTCATGACGTGTTCGGTCAAATGAATTAGTTGTTGTATGTTATATATAAAGCTATGATTTCAAATGATGTATATATAATAATGAAAATGTTGTATAAAGGAACGAATGCTAGCTATGATTTTACATGAAGAATTTATGCTAATCTTACGAACGACGAAAATGTTTTATGAAAAGAATGTTCGTGTATTAAAATTAATGTTTTATACTCGTAGGACCTCATGTATGTGTGTGATTCATATTGGCATAAAAAAAACATTATATTTTCGTGTTTACTTCTTTTTATGACTCTTTTTAGGTCACTACCTACCTTAGCATTTAATTTAGGGTCGATGCATATAAAATTGATACCACTTATGTACACAGTGGAGGTGGTGCATATTCAGAAAAGTCGAGAGATGAGCTTAATAGATTATGTGCGTACATATAAATATTTAAATCAAAATTTTAAAAACTCTATACTTTTATTATTTATTTAATCATAGTGGTAGATTAAGCTACCTAATCTCCGACCACTTTAAGTTAATAATTAATTAATCACAATAGGATAACCAAACTTATATCTAATAATTAAATAATATGATTGAAGTTGTTGGTCACAATTGTATGATTGTATTACAAGTCATTAGATTCTGACCATATTAAATACTCACTCAGTTAATAATTAAAATCATAAACTTATTTTATTTATTAAGCAAAGGACATCGATGTTCCGACTCCCAACAATTCCACATTTTAAATTTATTTCACGAAATAATTAAAAAAAAAAAAAGTTTATAATACTAATTGTCATATTTGTCCATAGGTTCAACCATAATACTAATTGAAGGTGAGGACAATATTGGTAAATATGCATATTAGCAAAGCTTTTGAGTTCTATAAGACCAAAGTCTTTATTATTATTTTTTAAATGTGTATTTATGACTTTTAGCTTTTTTAAAAAATTATTCATTTAAATAATTTTTATATGTATTAAAAAAATATTAATTAACTTTTAACATATCGTCTAAGAATTATTTTTTTTTAGAATTTAAATTGGTAAATTTATTATTATTATTATTATTATTTTATAAATTTGTATTTTCCTAAAACTAACCACAAATATTTATGATCTCTAGATTTGGTTTTTAAATATCATTTCCAAAATTAAAAAATGGTTTTTAAAATGTTTTCAAAACATTATCAAATTTTAATCACCCCAAACTATATTATTACAATTTAAGTTTATGACCATTTTTATTTGTTTCATGTTTTAATTTTGGTTAAAATTAAGATTATCTAAATAAATAATAATTTTTTTAAAAAAAATTCGGTTATTTAAAATTATCTTTAATAAGTTAAATCTAAACAGGTCGCCTTTGAGAGACACTGTTGAAAAGGATATTCTTAACCGCATATTCTTACAACACAAAAGGTATCTATCTTAGAACAAAATTTGGAGGCCCACCAACATTTGAGTAGTGTTCACATCTCAATTCTATTAGATTGTCGATTTATTTTTATTTTTTTAATTATTTAAAAAAAAATCTATTTATATACCGTATATCTTACCTTAATAACTAAAATCTTATAAAATTTAAATATGAAATATTTTTACGAGCCACAGTGCATGACCAACATTATTTACCAAACCAAAAAAATGTTAACCCATGGATCCATCCTCACGGTGTGAACACTCTTCGTAATAATTGCACCAAAAAAAAATCCACATAGCTACCATAATTTTGAAAAGCACCGGGCAGTTAGAGACAAATGGGTAAGGATATTCTTAACCGCATATTCTTACGGGACGGAAGGTACCCATCCCAAACAAAACCCTAAGGCCCACCACCATTGGCAAATCACACAAATTTGGACTCTAACCTCCCCCCACTCACTTCAGAAATCGCAGAAACAGTCACTCAAACTCCGACGCGTGTCACCGTCCTAATGGCGCAACCGTCACCCATCTTCCCACCACAAATTGGCACGCCCATTTTTCATGCTGACCGTGTGACCAATTAGTGGATTTAATAAACGAAGCTAAAAAATAAATAAAATAAATACTTCCTTGTCGTTTCAAATTGAATTTCTTACTCTCCCAAGCTGACTCAGCAGTCCCAATCTTTTTGTTTCCATCCACCTATTGGTGACGTGGATTAAAAAAATATTCCAACTCCCCAATCATGACCCGCCACGTCCCCATTCAAATCTTACATTTTATCTTTCATATTCGCCCTTTATAAACTCCGCCTATCCCTGCGTATGTTCTACTTTCCCTCTACTAAATCTGTTTGGCAGCCCAGAAAATTACTCTGTTTTTCTTTTCCCTCCGAGAAAATTACTCTGTTTTTCCTTTTCTCTTCGAGAAATCAAGAACAATGGAAGTTCCTGTGCTGAACAGGATTGCTGAATTAGGCTCAGATCTGGGCTTGCTTCGAATTTTCACTTCCTTTTTCCCATCCCCACATTTTTGGAAATGGGGTGCTGTTCTTATAACTTTGTTGGCCACTTTTAGTGGAATAATCAATCGGCTCAAGATTTTAATCATTGTCATTCGTCGGAGCAGTCGAACCACTCCGATTTGCGAGCCTCTCTCCCGATCTCTCCACGGCGGGGAGACCGCTGGTTTAGTTTCGGAGAATCTCAGATCTTCCCTGCTTTCAAGCTCGGAATCGGCAGATGAGAAAGAGGCGGACCGGGAACCGGACGACGGGTCGGATTTTCGAGTCAAAGGGACGGCTCGTTGTTCTCGTCTCCGGCGACGGTACGGCGGCGGAGGCGATGGAGATTCGGTTCCGTGGTCGTGGCCGTGTTTTGGGTCGGAACAGAGCGTAGTGAGGCAATGGGGTGATGTGAAATTGAAATGCGAGTTTGAGAAGTTAAGTGGGAGTGTGATTTCGTTGTACGATGAGAATGAAGAGACGGAGATCTGCTCCATTTTCAGCGACGGAGCTCCGCTGCAAGTGGCGGCTTTATCGCCGGGGAGAATGGTGGTGGCCGCCGGAGAGAGCATATCGTCGAGCGTGTCACTTAAGCTTTGGGATACACGTTGCCGGAGCCGGACGTCAGTGCTGGCGGCGGAGTGGAATTCGCCGTCGGAAAAGGTTGTCGACGTCTATTTTGAGGATGTAGACAAAGTCTATCTTAGAGATAACGGAGGTGATAGAATAGTGGTCGGTGATGTTAGAAAAGTTAGGTCAGTGTCGGAGAATTCGTCGGCGGTCGACAACGGCGGCTGGTGGGAGTCAGAACATAGACGCCGTTTATAGTTTCGTGAGAGAAATTGGTGGTTACGAGGGCGAGTGAGACCGTAGTTCGATTGACACTTTTGTAGATATTAAATTTGTTTAATGCAATAAAAATTTTGATTTTAGTTTAGCTCCACACATGACTGATGTGGTTGTTGTGAATACAATGATTATGTTTTTTTTTTTTTTTTTTTCATTATAGAAGCAATAGAAAAGTTATACAAAATAATTCATAAAATTAAATTACTTATTATAGATTGATGTGGATGGTAGACCTACAAGTTTGTTGAAGTGAGTAACTTGAAACAAGTAACTAAACATCTAAAACGAAAGAAAGCAAATAGGGCCAACAAAAAAAACTTAAATTTGGAAAAGAGAAAATACAATACGATGGCGAGATGTCAGATGGCAGCATGCGACAACAATGACGACAACCTTGAAAGTATGGTCAATGGCTAGCAGTCAAAAGTCAATGGTTAGTTTTGACATCCTCCTTCTTTTAATGATTTTTAAGCCTCCCCGAATTTATTCTTTGAGTTGTTTTCACTTGTTTTATTCTCTTGAATTAATATAATAAGTTTTGATGAACTTTGAGAAATTTAGATTTTTTACAAGTTAGATCGGCATTGAAAAATTGGCCAACCATGTAAGTAACAATTTAGATCTTTTTTGGCAAGAAATACTCGTAGGAATCAATTAGAACTCGAGCATATGGACTATTAACATGGTTTATGAATGAAATGAGTATGAGAATAGATAGTAGAGCCTGGAATTATGAATTTTGAACGGTTTAGCTAGAACGCACGTTATAGGACTTTTGCTATACTGTAATGCTTTGAAAAAAAAAAAACGGTCGAAATCCAAGGGGCAAAATGAGCATTTTACCCCTCAGCCCATTATAGGGATCTGGAGGGTTCTCCATTTAAAACCTGCAAAGGAGAGAAGTGTGAAAAAGAAGGTTGAGAGTAAGCTTGAGAGAGAAAAGAGAGTCATGAGTTTCGTCCCAGAATCACCAACGAAATCCATTCCCTACTAAGATCTATACTCTGGAGTTCTTCTTGGAGAGAATCTAGACTCGCGTTGTTGAGATTTCCTCCTCTTTCGTCAAGATCCAAAAGAAAACTCGCAAGGTAAGATCTCAAACGATACTCTTCAGATCTAAGATCTTTGTTTGGGAGTAGAGTGTTTAAGTTTACTACCTTCATCTAGGGAAGATCCGCCACTGATTTTGTGAGGAAATCGGACGAAACATCGAGATCTAAGAATCTTTTAAAAAACGGTAAGGATGTTACCGGACCTCTTTCCGACTTCATAACTCGTCGTATGATTAAGTAAAAATCAAGAAAAAAAATATTGGCACGTAGGTTGAGGTATGCTCTAAAACTTTGTTGAAGAAGTCATTACTGTCTGGATTAAGAATCGAGAGATAGAAAATGGGAAGGACGTCGGAAAAACTAATTGGAAACCTTGATTTTCTGCTAAGAGGAGAGAGAAGCCGCCGGCGTGCCAGTGTCAACCGGCTAGAGGACCGCGTGCGCCAACCACCTTTGGACACGCGTTGAACGTCGCCTGGGAAAACGCAGCTCCAACCTTCCTGTGACACGCGTCCCCAGCAACGCAACCTGACCCGCGTTCCTCGGCTTACCCGGTACCCGCGCCGCGAAACGAACCGAACCCACAACCCGCGGTCCACCCGAACCATTGTTTCCGAACCGAACCGACGACCCACGACTACAGAAAACTCTGGGTGCGTGACACTCGCGCATGGAACCTGCGAGTGGTTGCATCCCGGCGCGTGGAAGCGCGTGTAAGCTCATTTTCGACCCTTTTGACTTTTGTTTTTCCTTTTTTCCTCCTGATTCCAATCCTAACTCCATTTTATATGAAATAGAACCTAATTGAGAAAAATCACTACCTTTTGATACGCCAATTGTGTGGAAATGCTGCATTAGGGCACGCATCATCCAAGTAAGTTACCATGGAATTTTAGGAAGTAATACTTGTAGGAGTCGCTTGGAATGCATGCATGCTAGTTTAATTATCTTAGGTCGTAGCTTTCCGCTATTGATCGTAGGTAATCGATTATTAAAAGTAAGATGTATGTTGTGAATTATTATGAGAATTACCTGAGTACTGTTGTTATGCTTTAAGTTTCCGCTTATTATGTATATGTATATTTTCATGCTGAAAGGAGGATGGAAAATTGTGAACTCTGCACTTCGGGAGTTGATGGATGTTATCGCCCCGTTGAGTTTGTATGTTTACTTTGCATAAAACATGTTTGATGACTTTGGATGATAGTTATGTATGTACTCAGTTAGTTTTCATGACTCGCATTTATGATTAAGTCTAGGAATTCTTGGTTAGAGTAACAAGACACTAAGGTATAGATCTAATCCTTTCCCTAGTAGAGCAACAAACCACCACGGCGTACGAAGCCACACTAGAGTACCCTTAGGCTACTGGTGTGTGATTGGTGTCATAGCTTCGTGGGGGACCAGGGGGTTCCTGATCAGAATCCGACTGCTCTTAGCCGTTTTAGCATGGAAAACGTGTGCCCATGTCGTATAGACCGTTTAGCTAGATGGATTAAGGGGGGTAGCTCTCCCCGACCAGGGGGACTGTCATGGGCCTAGGGGGTTGCAACTCATTTCCTAGGTAAGTTTCCAGATAGTCTTAGAGCCATACCGAGGTAGCTACTCGTAAGGCACCAGTCATTACACAGGTCAACATAAGGGAGTTCTTAAGAATCTTTAAACAAAAGGACAAAGGACCAAGAAGTCACGAGGGGCAAGTCCCCAGGTGTTAAAACTAAAACCAGATGTCCTAGAGCTAAAGTAGAGTCCGTGGGAGTTTGTTAAGATTATGATGCGATTAGAGCCTACAAGTAGGTGGCTTACTGGGTATAATTTTATACTCATTCTTGCCGTACTTTTTTTTCAGGTACGTGAGGCGTCAAGTCAAGAGAGGGTGCGTTGATTGATGTGAGTTGTCATAGAGGAAGCGTGTCCCGGGGCGTCAGTCTAGTTTTACTGAATAGTACACCTTGTCTTTCATGATTATCTTTTTGTTTTTACCTAGACACGTAAGTCCTTTTGGTAATGAAACGTTTTTCTTACGAAATAAATAAAATACTTTTGAAATAATGTTTTCCTTGAATTTCTCACTTACACATTACACGTCATAGTCATTGTTAGTCACGACTTGAGGTTATTTATTTTGGGTCGTGACAAATTTGGTATCAGAGCACCAGGACATAGGTCCTGTAGACACTTAGGTTAGAGAGTCGTATCTTCTGTGACGCGCCCATCAATCACGTGCCTCTCGCGACCAGACAGTCTCACGAATTTGAATTGCGAAATTAAGAGATAAGATGTTAAGTAGATAATTTTTCATGACTGTTCTCTTGTGTTGTACTGCACATTTCCTAGAGGTTGAACCTTGAATGAAATGTAACCGCAAATTTTCTATTGTGGTAGCTAAATGGCATCTAAGAGGAGTAAAACCTATCTCGGGCCTGGACCTAGAAGGGGAAGAAGAAGAGTCGCTAAAGACATTAATGTCTCGTCACCTGAGGCGGAACAACCTGTACCTGAACCTCAAGTGGAGGTTGATGAAATGCCCCAATGGTTTGAATGTCCTATACCACGGGCACCAAGGTCAGGAATGAGTCAAAAGAAAGAAGTGACTCAAGAATTACCTGATGTAGACTCTACTGCTCCTCCTCCTGAAGCGATCCCACCAGTGCCCACCAATAACGTAGAGGTTCCACCTAGGCAGCCAACAACTAACCTCACTACAGATGTTCTATAGTCATTTATGTTAATCTCTATGGAAAACCAGGCTCAAATGGTTCATTTATGTTAACTTCTATGAAAAACCAGGCTCAGATGATGCAAACACTAGTCACTAACCAGGCTACAATGCAACAGGCAATACAACAGGCAACGCTGCAACAGACAGCAGTGCAACAGCATTGATAGGGACCAGAGACTCTGAGATTATGACTGTGGAGGCTCATTATCTTAAAGACTTCCAGAGGCAAAACCCGCCTTCCTTTGAAGGTGGCAAAATAGATCCCATTGCAGTAGAAAATTGGTTCGAGGCTATGGAAAAAGCCTTCTTTTACATGAACTGTCCGCTAGAATATCAGGTTCATTGCAGAACGTATTTGTTGGAAGGAGAGGCTCATTTTTGGTGGAAGGGTGCTAAAAAAATGATTGCACCGCTTGGAGAGCCTATTTCTTGGTGTCAGTTTAAAGAGGCCTACCTCCACAAATACTATTGAGTTGCTGCTAGAATGAAGCTACATGCAGCATTTCATGAACTCAAACAGGGTGACCTATATGTGGAGGATTATGATATGGAATTCAATAGATTGGCTAGATTCTCTCCTATATATGTCAGTACTGAAGAGCTTAAGGCTGAACATTTCGTCGCCGGTCTAAGGGAGAACATTAGAGGTTATGTGGTACCATAGGAATTCACAGACTATGCAGTAGCTCTCAAGACGGCAACCCTCATTGATGCGCCTCATACTGACAAATTACAGGCAGGGTCAGCCCAAAAATCCCAGATCGCAGTCCAGGGGAAACAGATAAACTGGAATTATCCCAGGACTGGCAGACCACCCGTGGTGGCACTGCCAATCGCAAGAGAGCCCCAGCACAGAACATGACTAATTGCCCTCAGTATCAGCACCCTCACAAGGGGGATATCGTGTTGGAACTAATGCATGTTTCAGTTGTGGCCAAACAGGGCACTATGCAACGAACTGTCCTCAAACGAGAGATCAAAACACTAATCGACCTGCAATACAAAATCAAAGGGGCCGGGGTGCCCAATAGCGGCAGGGGCAAGCTGTAGCCCATGCAACCACAGGTAGGCAGGCCGACGCACCTGACGCAGTCGTTACAGGTACACTACCCGTCTTTGGTCATTTGGCTTTTGTACTATTTGATTCGGGTTCTACACACTCATTTGTCTATGAGGAATTCGTTGACTTAGCGTACCTAGAAAAAGAAGCCTTAGAGACCATTCTATCAGTGTCCACCCCTGCTCACGAGTTATTAATGGCTACTCATAGAGTTAAAGGGGGTAGTGTGACAGTGTCGGGACAAGTCATAGAAGCTACTTTAATAGTATTAAGCATGCAAGACTTCGATGTCATTTTGGGTATGGATTGGCTAGGAGAAAATAGCGCTCTAATTGATTGTGAAACTCAAATAGTTACTTTCAGACTCTCATCAGGAGATAGTTTTACATATAAGGGAGTCACTTCCAAAAGAACCCCAAGTGTTGTACACTAAAGGCTAGAAAGATGATCCGTAGTGGTGCAATCGCATTTTTAGCCAGTGTGACCCTAGACAGTAGAAATGAACAGACAGTCTCGTCAGTACACATTGTCAGGGAATTCATTGATATTTTTCCTGAGGATTTGTCAAGTTTTCCCCCTATTAGGGAAGTTGACTTCGGGATCGACCTAGAGCCAGGAACTGCGCAGATCTCCAAGGCTCCTTACAGAATGGCATCTGCTGAACTCAGGGAATTGAAGAAACAGTTACAGGAGCTATTGGATAAGGGTTTCATACGACCCAGTATATCGCCCTGGGGAGCCCTTGTTCTGTTTGTCAAGAAGAAGGATGGATCCCTGCGCCTGTGTATAGACTATAGAGAACTGAATAAGGTCACCATAAAGAATAAGTACCCCCTCCCGAGGATCGACGACTTGTTTGATCAATTGCAGGGAGCAACGGTATTCTCCAAAATTGACTTGAGGTCAGGATATCATCAATTGAGAATAAGAGAAGAAGATATACCCAAAACAGCTTTCAGAAGTCACTATAGACATTATGAATTTCTCGTCATGTCCTTTGGACTTACCAATGCACCAGTTGTCTTCATGGAATCAATGAACAGGGTGTTTAAAGAATTCTTAGACACTTTTGTTATAGTATTTATTGATGTGATAAGATAAGGAATCAACTACAAGGGGAATAAGATTCGGATTACCTTGTTGATCGAATATCTCAAGCCAAGAACACTTTGTTTGAGATTCGAATCACTCCAGAAGCAAGATCGATCATGTCTAGCTTCAATGATTCTTGTTGATCAAATATCTCAAGACAAGAACACTTGATTGAGATTCGAATCACTCCACAAGCAAGATTGATCATGTCGAGCTTGAATGATTCTACATGCAACCTAAACTACATAGAATTGCAAAGAAACTTAGCCATTGGCTAAAGAAGAGCACAAATGCTTCTTTTACTATATTTTCCAAGTCTGCCTTACAAATACAACATACATGTCTTTATATAGGCTAAAAAATGAAACTACTAAAGGTATTTCAAAAGTTGTAACATTCCTACTTTATGGCCATAATTAGCCATTATGTAAATGTAACCGAAATTAAATAACAAGTCTTAAAATACAATAACTCTAAATTACTCTAAATTGTAACCCACCCAAAATTTACAACAATCAAACTTCATTCTTCTTCAATGTAGCATGAATTGAAACATCTTTTTAATAATTTTGACAACCTTTTCTTCACATCTTCATTGAAGTATATTGTATGATTGATGTCTCTTGGTTCATATCATGATGACATTTTGGTGTACTCTTAGTCAAAAGCAGAGCACGAAGGGAATTTGAGAAAAGTTCTGACCGTATTGAGAACACAGCGACTGTACGCCAAGTTTTTCAAGTGTGAGTTTTGGCTGTTTGAGGTAGCGTTTTTGGGACATGTGGTGTTAAGTAGAGGAATCACAGTGGACCCAGCTAAGATAGAGGCAATGATGAAGTGGTCAAGACCGACCACAGTCACTGAAGTATGGAGTTTTCTAGGACTAGCTGGTTATTACAGAAGGTTCGTCTAGGATTTCTCCAAAATATCTTCGGCGCTAACTCAGTTAACTAAGAAGGGCAAGTCTTTTGTGTGGACATCAACTTGCAAACAGAGCTTCTAGGAACTCAAGGAGAGGTTGGTGACAGCACCAGTCCTCACAGTTCCAGATGGATCAGGGAATTTAGTGGTGTACAGCGACGCATCGTGTAAAGGTTTAGGATGCGTGCTCATGCAGAAGAGTAAAGTGATAGCTTACGCTTCTAGACAACTGAAGGAATATGAACGAAATTATCCCACTCATGACCTCGAGTTAGCAGCAGTGGTGTTTGCACTGAAAACGTGGCGACATTATCTGTATGGAGAGAAAATCCAAGTATTCACTAATCATAAGAGTCTCAAGTACCTATTTATGCAGAAGAAGCTTAACATGAGACAGAGGAGATGGTTGGAACTAGTAAAGGATTATGACATCGAGATCCTGTATCATCCAAGCAAGGCCAATGTCGTGGTGGACGCATTAAGCAGAAAGGCGGTTCATACTTCCCAATGATCACTAAGCAGGAAAGAATACAGGATAAGATGAAGAGGGCTAGAATTGATGTTGTAATCAGAGGTGGTTTTGCTCAGATAACATAAATGACCATGCAACCCACCTTGTGAAAACGAATTATTGACGCTCAGAGGTCTGATGAACACTTTGGGAAACTGTGGAATCAGACAGAGACTGAAAGACCACTGGGGTACTCAATCTCTTCAGATGGGGGTTTGCTGTGGAAAAATCGCTTGTGTGTTCCCTATGACAAGAAAATTCTGAAGGATATTATGACGGAAGCTCACAATACTTCTTACACGTTCCATCCTGGAAGTACAAAGATGTATCAAAATCTTAAGGGATGTTAAAGGAGATAACAGATTTTGTAAGCCGATGCTTGACCTGTCAGTAGGTGAAGGTCCTGAGACAGCGCCCAGCAGGACTGCTACAACCCTTAAAGATCCCTCGGTGGAAATGGGAAGCAGTTTGCATGGATTTTATCTCAGGCTTGCCCAAGACCAAGCAGAGCTTCAACGTAATCTGGGTAGTTGTTGATAGACTTACGAAAATGACTCACTTCATCCCAGGCAAAACCACTTATCGTGTGGATTGATGGGCTCAGCTGTATATCAGAGAGATAGTACGCCTGCATGGTGTACTGGTGTCTATAGTATCTGATCGGGACACTAGGTTTACCTCTCAGTTTTGGAAAAGCCTCCAAAAAGCATTGGGGACTCAGCTAAGGTTTAGTACAGCATTCCATCCTCAAACAAACGGACAAACAGAAAGACTGAACTAAATCTTAAAAGATATGTTGCGAGCCTGTGTCATGGATTTCGTTGGGTGCTGGGATGAATATCTACCGTTGATAGAGTTTGCTTATAATAATAGTTATCAAGTGACCATCCAGATAGCCCATTTTGAGGCGCTGTATGGGCGTAGGTGTCAAACACCGGTATTTTGGGAAGAAGTAGGCAAGCAGCAACTATTGGGACCAGAGTTGGTTTAGGTTACCAACGCAGCAGTGCAGAAAATTAAACAAAGAATCCTCACTGCACAGAGTCGACAGAAGAGCTACGCAGATTTACGTAGAAGGGACCTCGAGTTCGAGGTGGGTGACCACGTGTTCTTGAAGGTAGCCCCTATGAGGGGGGTGATGAGGTTTGGAAAGAAGGGAAAGCTAAGCCCAAGGTTTATAGGCCCTTTTGAGATTCTAGAGAGAGTTGGGGTCGTGGCTTATAAGATTGCTCTACTGCCAAACATTGTCGCCGTTCACAACATGTTCCACGTGTCTATGCTGCGAAAGTACACCCCAGACCGTACTCATGTGATTGAACACGAAACTCTTCCTCTTCGGAAAGGTCTGTCCTACGAGGAAAGGCCCAGCAAAATTCTGGCTCGAGACACTAAGCGATTGCGCAACAAAGTTATCCCCCGGGTGAAAGTTGCATGGGGTAACCATCGAAACAAGGAGGCAACCTGGTTACAAGAAGATGATGCAAGGAGAGCCTATCCTGAATTTTCCAAGAGATACCAACTTTCGGGGACGAAAGTTTTTAAGGAGGGGAGAGTTTGTAATGCTCCAAAAAAAAAAAAAAATCGGTCGAAGTCCAATGGGCAAAATGGGCATTTTACCCCTCAGTCCATTATAAGGGTCTGGAGGGTTCTCCACATAAAACCTGCAAAAGAGAGAAGTGTGAGAAAGAAGGTTGAGAGTAAGCTTGAGAGAGAAAAGAGAGTCGTTGGAGTTTCATCTGAGAATCACCGACGAAATCCATTCCCTACTAAGATCTACATTCTGGAGTTCTTCTTGAAGAGAATCCAGACTCGCGTTGTTGAGATTTCCTCCTCTTTCGTCAAGATCCGAAAGAAAACCCGCAAGGTAAGATCTCGAACGATACTCTTCAGATCTAAGATCTTTGTTTGGGAGTAGAGTGTTTAAGTTTACTACCTTCATCCAGGGAAGATCCGCCACTGATTTTGTGAGGAAATCAGACGAAACATCGAGATCTGAGAATCTTTTAAAAAACGGTAAGGATGTTACCGGACCTCTTTCTGACTCTCATAACTCGTCGTATGATTAAGTAAAAATCAAGAAAAAAATATTGGCACCTAGGTTGAAGTATGATCTAAAACTTTGTTGAAGAAGTCATTATTGTCTGGATTAAGAATTGAGAGATACAAAATGGGAAGTACGTCGGAAAAACTAATCGGAAACCTTGATTTTCTGCTAGGAGGAGAGAGAAGTCGTCGGCGTGCCACGTGTCAACCGGCTAGAGGATAGCATGCGCCAACCACCTTCAGACACGCGTCGAACGCCGCTTGGGAAAACGTGGCTCCAGCCTTCCTGCGACACGCGTCCCCGACAACGCAACCCGATATGCGTTCCTCGACTGACCCGGTACCCGCGCGGCAAAATGAACCGAACCGACGACCCGCGATCCACCCGAACCACTGTTTTTGAATCGAACTGACGACCTGCGACTACAAAAAACCCTAGGCGCGTGACACTCGCGCGTGGAACCTGCGAGTGGTTGCATCCCGGCGCGTGTAAGCTCATTTTTTACCCGTTCGACTTCTGTTTCCCTTATTTTCCTCCTGATTCCAATCCTAACTCCATTTTATATGAAATTGGACCTAATTGAGGAAAATCACTACTTTTGATACGCCAATTGTGTGGAAACGCTGCGTTAGGGCATGCATCATCCAAGTAAGTCACCACACGGAATTTTAGGAAGTAATACTTGTGGGAGTCACTTGGAATGCATGCATGCTAGTTTAATTATCTTAGGTTGTAGCTTTCCGTTATTGATCGTAGGTAATCGATTATTAAAAGTAAGATGTACATTGTGAATTATTATGAGAATTACTTGAGTACTGTTGTTATACTTTAAGTTTCCGCTTATTATGTATATGTATATTTTCATGCTGAAAAGAGGATGAGAAATTGTGAACTCTGCGCTCCGGGAGTAGATGAATGTTATTGCCCCGTTGAGCTTGTATGTTTACTTTGCATGAAACATGTTTGATGACTTTGGATGATAGTTATGTACGTACTCAGTTAGTTTTCATGACTCGCATTTATGATTAAGTCTAGGAATTCTTGGTTAGAGTAACAAGACACTAAGGTATAGATATAATCCTTTCCCTAGTAGAGGAACAGACCACCACAGCGTACAAAGCCACACTAGAGTACTCTTAGGCTACTGGTGTGTGATTGGTGTCATAGCTTTGTGGGGGACCAGGGGGTTCCTGATCAGAATCCGACTGCTCTTAGCCGTTTTAGCATGGAAAACGTGTGCCCACGTCGTATAGACCATTTAGCTGGATGGGTTAAGGGGGGTAACTCTCCCCGACCAGGGGGACTGTCATGGGCTTAGGGGGTTGCAGCTCACTTCCTAGGTAAGTTTCCAGATAGTCTCAGAGCCATGCCGAGGTAGCTACTCGTAGGGCACCAGTCATTACACAGGTCAGCATAAGGGAGTTCTTAAGAATCTTTAAACGAAAGGACAAAGGACCAAGAAGTCTCGAGGGGCAAGTCCCAAGGTGTTAAAACGAAAACCAAATGTCCTAGAGCTAAAGTAGAGTCCGTGGGGGTTTGTTAAGATTAGAATGCGATTAGAGCCTACAAGTAGGTGGCTTATTGAGTATAATTTTATACTCATTCTTGCTGTACTTTTTTTTCAGGTACGTGAGGCGTCAAGTCAAGAGAGGGCGCGTTGATTGATGTGGGTTGTCACAGAGGAAGCGTGTCCCCAGACGTCAGTCTAGTTTAAATGAATAGTACATCGTGTCTTTCATGATTCTCTTCTTGTTTTTACCTAGACACATAAGTCCTTTTGGTAATGAAACGTTTTTCTTACGAAATAAATGAAATACTTTCGAAATAATGTTTTCCTTGAATTTCTCGCTTACACACTACACGTCATAGTCATTGTTAGTCAGGTTATTTATTTTGGGTCGTGACATATACATAGTTTACCTTTGATTAATTTAAATGTTTTGTCACGACTATGGCAAACTATGATTGATTGTGCATGTAGTTTGCATGGATACGTATGATTTTGTGATTTGATACCATTTACACCCCTAAAAGCATGTTACGAGGTTGGAATACCTACTTATATCCTAATTTATTTTATGGACTAGATGTTATGTGTCCTAGAGAATATGTATGATTTATTAGTGAGCCTTAACCCATGTGTTTATCTTTCCTTGGTCCTTGAGCCACGCATAGGGTCCGTTGTGATGACATGAATAAACTAGGTCTACGGAAGAAAGGTTGGGACGTCGCCCAAACTTATTTCCAATAAGATTAATGTATTGACTATACAGAATAATAATAATAATAATAATAAATACTTTATAAAAGCCACACTTTTTTTTTTATTTCTCTCAGCTTCTTTTCCAATTTTTATTCTGGTTTTCTTTTCCTTTTATTTTTTTTCAATATATATATATATATATATATATATATTGAATTTTTACAATTATGTCAATATAACTGAATAAAAAATAAATTAGTTAAAGTTTTTTTTATTGGTTTTGTTAATAAAAATAGAATAACCAAGCACAATTAATCATTTAAAATTACTAATAAAGTTGTTGAAAATAATGGTAGGAACAAATATAAATATTATTTATTTACCTATCTAATTTCTAAACCTCTTAAACAAAACTTTCAATTAAACCTTTTTTTTCTTTATGTGTAAAGTATATAATATTTCAAAAGAAATAATAATAAAAAAAAGGCATGATTTAAAAATTAAGACGCACTACCATGTCCACTCATTTGATTCGGGTAACCCGATGACCCGAAGTAATACAATTTTGACATGTGTCCAAAGGCAAGTGGAAAAGTGGGCCCAACCGCAGTGGATTGGAGGCTGCCAGAAACAAGATAAGACCCAAAAATGGTCCTAAGAAAAAAAAAAGCAAAAAGAAAAAAGAAAAAGTTAATATTCGTTCCCTTTGGTGTCCCCAGAAAGCCTCCATTTTAAAACAACAAATAATCTTATCTATTCTCAAACCGATTTATTTATTTATTTATTTATTTTTCTCCTAATTTTTTTTTTAATAATTATATATATTTATATATATATATATATATATATATTATACATTTATATTAATTAGTAAGAAGAAAAAGTATTCCTTCTCCATATTTCTTTCTCCTTCTTCCATCGTCGCCGCAGTCGCACGTCCGATAGCCACCGGCTGCTCTATCGTTCTTCTTCTTCTTCTTCTCTCTTATCTCCCTTGCTCCACCAAACGGCACCTACACACCGACCTCCATTTCTGATTTCTCTTCTTCTATCCTATCTTCCTCTCTGTATTGCCGTTCTGGATTGCCGGCACGCCCCCACGACAACCACGTCTTCTGCTGCAGCTCTCCATCAATCGGTCGAATTCTACCTGGTTCGATTCTTTTTTCTTTTTTGTTTTATTTGTTCTTTTCGATTCTACCGAATAGGATAAAGTTGGAATCAGGCCAATTATGATTTTAAATCCTGCTGACCTACTTTGGATAGGGATGTTTTTTTCGAATCAAAACCAGATTTCAAATTCTATTCTCTGGATTCATTCGAACATTGAAAATTCTGATTTGAAATCCTTGCAATCCAGGGTCCGAACACAGGGTAAGAGATTTCAGCGCCAATGGCTTTTGGAAGCGTCTCGTTCCCATCTACAGCTCCCATTTCTCATGTTCAGTAAGCTACTCTTTGTATTCTGATTTCTTCAAGTGATTTTCCATTTGGGTTTTTCTTTAATTGTTGCATTATTTGTGTTTTGTTTTCGATTTATCCAGAGTCAGCTTCATTTATCTTTCTTGAAGTGACAAAAAAATAATCATGTTATGCATTCAATCTCTTGATCCCATCTTCCCACCACAAATTCGCACGCCCATTTTTCATGCTGACCGTGTGACCAATTAGTGAATTTAATAAACCAAACTAAAAAATGAATAAAATAAATACTTCCTTGTCGTTTCAAATTGAATTTCTTACTCTCCCAAGCTGACTCAGCAGTCCCAATCATTTTTCATGCATTCAATCTTTTTGTTTCAAATTGAATATACTAGGCTTATGCTCTCTTAGAGTTAATCTTCCAGTTTGGCATGAAAGATTTCTCACCATTCTACAATAAATTGCGGCTAGCTATTAATTTTTAGTTATGAAGTTTAAGAACATTGATTGGAGCTTGTTTCTTGTCCCTCTTTTACTTATGTAGAAGATTTCAAGACTTGCAGTCCTTTGGTGGAATAAACCACGTTAAACCATACTCGTCAACTGGCCTTGTTTCTGAGTTAGCCTCAAACTGCAAAGCTAGTAAACTATTTTTGGGCACCAGGGGTTCATTCCAAACAAGAGCCACAGTGATATCTGGAGAAGGAGGAATTTTGTCTTCTTCCAATGGCAATGCTGTTGTGGCGAACAATACCAATAGTTTTCCCATTGATGAAGATGAATATGATTTTGATCGTCCAACAGAAGGTTTTGCTTCTGTAGCCGATGCCGTTGAAGATATTCGCCAGGGAAAGGTTGTGAATTGTTCTAGTTTTTCTTTTTCTTCAACTTTTTGGCACGTCACATGGCATGGGAGCATTTATTTTTCTCCCTTGATTTTCACCTCTTCATCTTAGTGACATGGAATGTAATGTTGCAGATGGTGCTTGTCGTTGATGATGAGGATAGAGAAAACGAGGGAGATCTGATAATGGCAGCACAAGCTGCAACTCCTGAGGCCATGGCTTTCATTGTAAAGCATGGAACAGGAATTGTTTGTGTGGCCATGAAAGGTGACGATCTGGAGAGGTTACAGATTCCACTTATGGTGAACGAAAAGGAGAACGAGGAGAAACTTTGTACTGCTTTTACTGTGACAGTGGTATGAATTCTTCACTTGGCATTTCTTATAATCGTTCAATTTAATATATGTAATCCAGTAAGAGTGCTCAAAATTACAGTTTTATGGCCTCTTTCTTCTGCTTAATATTTTTTAATCAGTTTGTCCATGTAGCGTGGTTATTTCCTATAGATTTAATGCTTGAAATTTCTTACAATTGTTTCTTCAGGATGCAAGAGAAGGTACAACCACTGGAGTCTCAGCTACTGATAGGGCAGCAACAGTATTGGCACTTGCATCAAGAGATTCAAAACCTTATGATTTTAAGCGGCCAGGCCATATATTTCCCCTCAAGTACAGGGAAGGTGGTGTTTTGAAGAGAGCTGGGCATACTGAAGCATCTGTCGATCTTGCAATGCTCGCTGGATTAGAACCGGTTGGTATCCTTTGTGAGGTAGTTGATGAAGACGGTTCTATGGCTAGGTTACCAAAACTTCGTGAGTTCGCCAAACAGGAAAACTTGAAAATCATCTCCATTGCTGATTTAGTCAGGTAAATTGATATCTTTCTTGCTAAAGCTTTGATTGTGTTAGCTTGTGTTTAGTTTTTCTATATTTTTAAATACTCTTCATACGAAAACAAGTTTCTTGCTTGGTTAATGATCACAATCTTCATTCCCAGCTAACAACAAAACAATCATTGTTGGGTTGTTTTTTTTTTTTCCCTCATTTATTTTGTGCCCTGTTTAGTAATCCTACAAATCAAATATAATATATGAAGGTATTGACAGATTTAGGAGGAAGAGGGATAGATTAGTTGAACGTGCTGGGGATGCTGCTCGCATGCCGACTACATGGGGTCCATTTCAGGCATATTGCTACAGATCTATTTTGGATGGAATTGAGCATATTGCAATGGTTAAGGTAACTAACTACTTCTGTTTCAAAGGGCAAAGCTTTATTAAAACATTTGCTATTACTGGTGGAACTATATAACGCTTTTGTTAGTGTACACGGTGATCCTGCCCCATACTATTTGAAGAAGTAATATTATTCGAGTCTCTTGAGATGGTCTACCTTTTAGTTCCTAAATTCAGCCAAGTACCAAGCTCGAGTGTGTGTGGATGCATGGTGTATTCTAATATGGATTTTCAGTGTCATAATGTATAAATTTACGGCCTACTTGCTTTGTGCAGGGTGATATTGGTGATGGACAAGATATCCTAGTGAGGGTACACTCGGAATGCCTCACTGGAGATATTTTCGGATCAGCTAGATGCGACTGTGGGAACCAGCTTGCTCTAGCGATGCAACTGATCGAGGCAGAAGGCAGGGGTGTCTTGGTTTACCTTCGTGGACATGAAGGACGGGGCATAGGTTTGGGCCACAAACTTCGTGCATATAACTTGCAAGACGCTGGGCGAGATACTGTCGAAGCCAACGAGGAACTAGGATTGCCTGTGGATTCTCGTGAATATGGCATAGGTGCACAGGTACATATAGATTTACCCAGAACGACGAAATGATTTGATTGGATCACATGAGTAAATTCTTTATTTTAACAAAATCTAATCGTTCTCTTCGTGGCTTGCAGATTCTAAGGGATCTTGGGGTGAGAACAATGAAACTAATGACAAACAACCCAACAAAGTACAAAGGCCTAAAGGGTTATGGCTTAGAAGTCTCAGGTAGAGTTCCCCTGATAACCCCAATTACAAAGGACAACAAAAGATACCTAGAGACGAAGCGTGCCAAAATGGGGCACGTCTACAACATGGATGTTGGTGGACGATTTAGAAATCTGATCGATGGGCATGAAATATCCAACGGTAGTTCAGCATCAAGTGATGCTGTGGCTTGAGCTAGCAATGTCGAAATTCAAAGAGAAAAAAAAAAACAGTTGGTTATCAAAGGTGTTGGAAGTGAAATGACTGCTGCAGCTGCTGGCTGACTCATAAGATAAAAGGCTAACTTGTTCTGAAAATCATAACACTGCGTATTATAATTATTATTGATTTGGTTTCATTTGTCAGGATTATTGTTTGATTAAGTTTGAAACAATAGAACCATTGATGATCTGTAGAATGAGTTTACAGTGCTACTCGCTACGGTTCCTAAGCCGTCACATACGCCTTCTCTTTTTTTAGCCCCTTTTCCTGTTTGGTTTGTCTGACTGCACGAAAAATGCCTTTTTTTTTTAAAAGCTTTTGATATAGCCTTTTCTACTATAAAAGAGAAAAAAAAGGTACAAATCCCCTCCCATGTCTCATTTTCTACTCATCTATACAGTGATTGAATGCCTCCTCCGGCTCACCGCCTGCCGAGGTCAGTTCTCCCTCCCCCCATCTATAGTTTCATCCCTTCTTTCCTTTTCCTGTGTGGGTTCTGTTTGTTTCTTGAAAATTTCATTTTCGGTTTTGCAGTGGATAGTGTACTGCCAGATGTTCACTTCTCAATTTCTCTTTTATGTTCCAGCTAAGTGGGAGTCTTTCACTTTCTCCCATTTGGACGACGAGGGAAATCAGCTGAGACAAGGGAGGGTGGCCATTCTGGAAAGCGTCACACTAGAGAGTTCACTACCATTTTCCATAACTTGGGGATCTTGGGAATTCGCAACTCTCTTTTGCTCGTTCTCTTTCAGGTAATTTTCCCTCCGATTTGGTGTGTTTTGCTCCCTTTCAATTGGGATTTGCGTTTGCTAATCTGAAAATCCCTTCGTTGTTTTTTTCAATGTCAAACAAAACCCCCATTGACCCCCCCAAAAAATCTGCTGGCCTAAACCTTTTGTTTTGTTTCAGTTGATTTCAGTGGTTTCTTTGCATCTATGGAGTTTAGATTTGTCTGGTTCTTGTTGGGAAATTTTTTGAGTTGAGTTCCGAATCTTCTTCTTGTGCACTTTGTAATTGTGCAAATTGTGAAATCCTTTGTAATGCTGTGTTGTGTTTATGCGGCTATGAATTGTGTTGTGTGTGGCCATCAATTTTGTAGGTAATGGAACTGACTCATTTTTGCTCTGGAAATTGAGTTCTATGTTCATCTTTTCTGCTAATTGTGATCATAGATTAGTACCCATATTTGTGAATTCTGAATCTACCCAATTCCATCTCTGTGTACTGCCAGACTTTCTGTCAACCTATTCACACCACCACCAAGTTCATTGCACACTTTTCGATTATAAGAAATTTAAGTAGCAATTGTATGTTGGTTTCATATATTTGATTGCGTCCGAAATCTTTTTATAACAATTTTGAAGATTGGAAGTAAGATCATAGTCCTAAGCGTTTGTAAGATCAAATTGTAGCACTACCACTACGTTTATTTGATCCGGGGAGAACGTTCTCCATTCATTCCGTTTCCACGAGTTATTCTCATTTAGGGGAATTTGAAGCTTGCTTATTAGCTGGATATATGTTTGTACAGCCTCATTTCACATTTTAATGGAACAACTTTAAAAATGTTCACAACTTTTCAAATATGGAAGAACTGTGCTCCTTTTTGTTTTGTTTTTCGTCCCTTAAACTCTTATGCATGGTAAGATAAGTTAAGTTGTATTCATTGATATAATCACTATAGGTAAATTGATCTTTTACAAGTTATTTTGTTATTACAACATGGTCAAAATTTTGTTTACTTTGATAATTATATTTTTCACTCAAGTACCATCGATCCTTTTGAGCCTGCGAGAGGACCAGGTTGGGTCCGATTGTTCAAGTCTAAAAGAACTACTCTTCTACTTATAGAAAGGAGTGAAATTCATCTCTCAAGATTATCTACGTCTAGAAACATCTCTCAAGATTATGTTTTAGTTCTCTATTCCATCAAATCCTAAATATGGTAGATATATTGAATTGGCTACAAAAATTATTCTCACTTATACAAATCAAAGGACAAGTCCTCATAGGTAAGAGTTCATAACTCGTTTAAGATTAAAATGGAGTTGCATAAGATCTTGTAAAAAATGAATTTTTTTAATTAAGAGATTAAACTTATAAAATAGAGACTAGGGAATGAGATACACAAAATATATAGACAACACCTCTTAATACATATGACTGGCACTTCAGAATGATCCTCTTCTATCATCAACACTCCCATATCTTGACTAGCTAGTAGCAGTCACCTAAAAAAGAAGAATAAAACATAATGAACAAGCAACCTACTTCAATACTCTAATTGCGTTCTTCCTAGTAAGATTGAGCCTATTATCTATAGCTATCTAAGTTTTTGAGGAGGCCTTGAAGTTACTCGCCACTAACCCATTTGGGAGTCTAGACATTTGATAAAAAATTTTAACATCATGGATCTTTGTACAACATATCTGATCGTTTGGGTGAACCTACTTTTTTGTTCTTCAAACTTAGCTAGCCTACACTCCCACAGAAGTGACTGGAACAGTATGATATCATTTCTCTGAACATATTTGTGTATGGTTAACTAACGACCCTTCCACAGGAACCATAAAGTTAAATAGTCTAGGAGAGTGACCCATGTACCGACTAGTTATTGAATCTACATGTGTGGTCCCTTGTATCCGCTCAAGATGGGTTTATAGAGTCGTGACCTTGTTCAGGAGACCCTTGATCCGTTTTCACACGAGATAGAGACACCTTTGTCGACTCAACACACTATCCTATTTAACTGATCAAGGTCAAGCTCGATGGTACAGATTCTTGAATACCTACCGCCCGATAGGGGCACTACTAGGTTGTAGGCTTCACCTACAACCAAGAGTTCAGGCCATTGCCACCCAAACAACCATGCCCATTCTGCAGCGATTCTCCTCTATTATGTTATGAGATATTGGATTATGGAATATGATATTAAAAGGAAAGAAGAAATCAAGTTGGAAACGTTCAAAATAAGTAAATCATGTGAATATTAAGCTTCAGATTTACCAAGATTCTAAAGGATTACGTATACCCATCTTCTTCTACAAATTAGGAAGCTTAGAATATACTAGTTTTACACCATTACACAAAAATAGCCTTGCCTATGCTTTTTCTTAAATGAGTATTCCATATAAGTATATTTAGCATAATATTATATTTGACCTTTTATTACCGTTATTTGTAATTTATTTGATATTCTTAAATGAAACCTTAATTTTCAATTATCCTTCTTTTGAAAATCTAACCGTCTAAGTCCACCGTTTGCTAGCACATATTGTGTTTTATGGACTTTCCGTTTCTCTTTTGGATCGACTGGGATTACACCGAAAAATTTGCTATTTATTTGAATAAATAACTTTTTAATATAATTTCTAAAAACATTCTAATATTTTTTTAGATGAAAATATAATATTGTATTTAATATAATTTTAAAAAATTCAAAATGGATATTATAATACTGGAAAATGGGGAGGAAAACAGGATCCCCTGTGTGTGATGATTCCCCGCCATTAACACAGTCGTCTGCTCCGCCACGCACCTCCCTCCTCCTCCGTTCCCTCTATGTCTGTTTACCTCATCATTCACTTCCTATGACACTTTCCCTCTCCTTCTCCCACTCCTCTCTCCATTCCCATTTTAATGCCCCTTTTTCCTGTTCTTCCCGCCGCCCCCGATCCCCACTTGTCCTCTCCTCCTCCTCCCCCTCCCATAATCTCATCCTCCTCCTCGGCGCCACCGGCTCCGGCAAGTCCTCCCTCTCCATTGACCTCGCCTCCCGCTTCCCCTCCGAGATAATTAATTCTGACAAAATGCAACTCTACACAGGCCTCGACATCACCACTAACAAGCTCCCCCTCTCCGACCGCCGCGCCGTCCCCCACCATCTTCTCGGCGACTTCGACCCACTCGCCGGCGAAGTCTCCGCATCGGCATTCCGCTCCCACGCCGCGGCCGTCATCTCCGGCGTAATCTCCCGAGGGAACCTTCCTCTCGTCGTCGGCGGTTCCAACTCCTTCATTCACGCGCTTGTCACGGCGGATTTCGATCCAAGCCACGACGTCTTCGGCTGCTCTCGGAATCGGGTGTCTACGGAGTTCCGGTACCGGTGCTGCTTTCTGTGGGTGGACGTGTCGTTTCCGGTTCTGAAACGGTACTTGTCGAAGAGGGTTGATGAGATGTTAGAGGCCGGGATGGTAAGGGAGTTGGCGGAGTTTTACGACCCGGAAATTGCCGATTCAGAGACCCGAGTGGGGCTGAGGAAGGCGATCGGAGTGGCGGAATTCGAGGAGTTTTTCCGGCGGCATCACCCGAAAGGGAGAGAGTACAAAGAGGGGAGGGATCCAGTGGTGGCGAGCGCATACAAAGAGGCGGTAAGGAAAATAAAGGAAAACACGTGGAAGCTAACGAAGAGGCAGTTAGGGAAGATCGGACGGCTGAGAAGAGCGGGGTGGGACCTGAAAAGAGTGGACGCTACAGCGGCGGTTGTGGCGGTGCTGGGGTCGGAAGCGGCGGAGAAACGGTCAGAAATATGGGAGGCAGAGGTAGTGGAAGCAAGCGTAAAGATTGTGAAGAGGTTCATTGCGTAGTAGGTTTTGCAGCTTTTTCCAGCTATGGCAGTTACTATTTCTTTTTTTGTTCCACTTTTGCCCCCATCTCTCTTTCTCTCTCCTACATTTTCTATAAAAGGAAACAACAAAAAAATAAAAATAAAAATAAAAATTTTAAATCAAATTTTGAGAAAGTGAATGTTGTTGTAAACAATTGAGATCATATGCTACAAACTTAGCCTTTTTGTGATAATTTGGGTTAGAGAGAGAGACTTATTTTATGTCTTTTTTACCCTAAACATTCATTTTCTTTTTTTTTCTTTTTTTCTTATTTAACTGATTTTTTTATTTAGATTCATCCATTAAATTTGAAAGATTAAACTTTTAATTTAACAAAATAAATAAATACTATGAATTTCATTTTATTTTGGTTTTTGTAATTTTTAAAAATATTTACAGAATAAAACCAAAAATAAAAGTGAAAGTACACAATAATATTCAAACCATAAATAAATAAAATGATGCGTGGTGTACGTGGAGGGCAATATTGGAAGCCTCTTTTTAAGGACAGAGAAGAAGTTTCCATAATTGAAATTCAGAAGCTTCCTTGACTCTCACCGTTCACCCCCTTTCATAAAAACCCATACTTTTTATATTCCCAATTTCGTCATTTTAATTATATGACAAAACACATATTTTCATACATTTTTTTAGTACAAAAAAAAATAGAATAATGTCACGAGATTATATTTGAACGAGAGCCAAGTTAAAAATATGATAATTAAAAAATATACATAAAATAATTAAAAATTATTATCTATACCAATAAGGTGGACATTGATTTAAAAGTTAACTGAGTTTTGTCGGGCGATTTTATACAAATTTTTCTAAAATGCATGTGAATAAAAATAAAACATGTTAGTCGGTTGGGGATAGCCTTCCCTCTTAATTTTTTTTCTTAATTTAAAAAGATAATAATATAAACTCTAATTATAAAATGTATGGAAAATATAAAAGAGTAATAATTTAAGCTTTCATTTATTTAAAGAAAAAAAAAAAGAAAGAAAAGAAATTGAATGAATGAATGGGGTTTAGGGTGAAGAGTATGACAGGCACATTAAGAGCAGACTGGTGAGGGCTTTTTGGGTATCCCTATTCCATTCCCTATGCTTTTGCTGCCACTCTTCTTACTTCATTTCTTACCACATTCATTAATGTCTCATCTCTTCGCCTTGGGAACCAAGAATTTCATTTCCAAAAACAAAAACAAACAACCCCATGTCTCTAGATTCATCTATCAATCCATTCCATGTAACTAAGATTAGTTTGGCACTTCGGTTCTCATCATCCCTGCAGGAGTTCCATAATATTTGGTTCATACCCAAATGATCTTAACAATTTCATCAATCCCTTCAACACACCATAGATTTCCTCGCTCTCGGAATGCCTCTCATCCAAGGAATAAAACTCAACTACGCTATCATTCACCTCAATCAAGCTGCATCCAGGCAATTTTTTGGACCCGGTGTCCCTCATTAATATCTTCAACCGGGCAACGTCTTTCCATCTCCCAACATCTCCATATATATTTGATAGCATCACATAGTTTGCAGGGTTCTTGGGTTCAAGCTGAATGAGTTTCTGAAGAGCTAACTCACCCAGATCAATGTTTTTGTGAATCCTGCATGCACCTAGAAGAGCAGCCCAGATGACAGCATCTGCTTCCATCGGCATCCTCTTCACGAACTCGATCGCTCGGTCCAAAAGTCCAGCTCGCCCAAATAGATCAACCATACAACCATAATGCTCAATCTGAGGCACAATTGAGTAGTCGTGGACCATTGAGTTGAAATATGAGATGCCTTCTTCAACTAACCCAAGATGGGTGCAGGAGCACAGCACCCCAATGAACGTGATTCCATCAGGCTTCACGCCAGTGATCTTCATCTGGTGAAACAAGTTTAATGCATCCGCCCCACATCCATGAGTTGCCAAGCCACAAATTACAGAGTTCCAAGTAATAACGTCTTTTGAATCCATGCTTCCAAAAACCTCCATTGCATTCTCGATTACACCGCATTTTGAATACATGTCTATTAATGCATTTCCAACATAAATACTCCCCTTAAACCCGATTGTTGCAGCATATACATGCACCCACTTCCCCAAGTCAAGAGCCCCTAATCTTGCACAAGCGGACAGCACAGTGACGAGGGTGGCATCGTTGGGAACAACAAGGCCATCGATTAGCATTCGTTTGAAACAACCCAATACTTCAAAGAAACACCCCTTATGAGCATATGCCCCAATCAATCCATTCCAGGAGAAAACATTCCGCTCAGGCATTTCTTCAAACAGCTGCTCACAAGCCTCAATGTCTCCATTATTTGCATACCCATTCAACATTGTATTCCAAGACATCACATCTCGGTATGGCATTGCATCAAACAGCTTTCTGGCAGCCCCCATGTCCCCTATTTCAATATAACCAGAAACCATGATGTTCCAAAGCACGACATCCCGTTCTGGTGCCAAGTCGAAAAGTCGGCGAGCAAACACCACATCATTACACAAAATGTAGCCACTAATCATGGAAGTCCAAGCAACTACATTTCTCTCAAGCATTCCAACAAACACCTTGTACGCAGACCCAATCGCCCTCCCAACAGAGTACACATCGATCAGCGTAGTTGCCACGAATTGGTTCCCTTCAAACCCTCCCTTAATCACCTCACAATGTATCTGTTCACCTTCGACAAACGCACTGATCTTTGCACATGATTTAAGGACAAGAGGGAAGGTGAAGCAGTTGGGTCTCACGTCCATGCTCTTCATTTTCCCAGACAAGAAAATCACTTCCCTGTAAAACTCATTGCGGACATACCCTCTGAAAGTTGCATTCCAAAGGGCTAGTTTTGGGTCAGGAAAATGATCGAACAGATGGCGGGCATAATCCATTCGCTTCAGACCAGCCCATGCAGATACCAGATTGGGAGCTACATATTCATTGTGTTGGAAACCGTGGGTGATTATCTGGGCTTGAACTTTCTGAAGCAGCGCCGCTGTCTTACATGATCGTAACAGAGAAATGAAGTGTTCTTCAAGGACCCGGTAGGGATGATGCTTCTGAACTGAATCTAACAAAAGCTTCGCTATCTTTCTCGAATGAAGAATCTTAATTCAGTTATTCAAACTTCAAAGGGCTAGTTCAATGATCAAACAGCATAGAATCAAACAAAATTTTCAAATCAGAAGTAGCTTCAGATCTAGACCTCAAACACAGATCCAAACCTGAGTTCGAACCACAGCTTCAGTGACCAAATTCACCCAAATCACAAATTCATTGATCGAACTTTGCCATGCTCGGACGCCCTACAGCTCTTCAGCCCACAGACGCCACCCAGTACCTTCGCACCTCAGCCCAATCAAGTGCTGCCCAACCCACTCGATGTAGACAATTCGACCCACAGACACCCTCACAAGCCCAACAGCTTGACACGCATATAAAATTGCTCTCATGAAAAGAAAATAAGGTAATAAGTAAAATAACATATCATAAATAAAGGTTACTAATACCCCGATACATGACTCTCGTCATTCCTGTTAGATGATGAGCTCCACATTGGCTAATTTAGGGAATGATCATGGGTTTATAATCAAATAATACTCTCTTCATTAGTGTAAGGCCTTTGTGGAGAGTCGTGTTCGTATCCACAGAAAATATAACAATTTTATTAATGAATATGTTATTGAAAATATCTTTTCTTTTTTTTTTTTTTTTGTTACGATAAGACCTATCAATTTCAGAAGATTTTCACGACTATACTATATCATATACTTGCATATACTAAGAAGGTTCGTGAGGTGTTGAATTTAAAATTTTCATCCTTATCCAAATTGAAAACCCGAGTCTCATTCGCCAGATTCGAATTTCAACTATTATCGAATAGAATATAAGATATAAAATGAGACGGAGGAGAAGAAAAATGGTGCAAAGTCTTGGGGAATAAGGATAATAATAGCAAGCGTAACCCAATAAAAGAGAGAGAGAGAGAGTTTTGAATTTGATTTTTCTTAAGGGTAAAGAAAGAAATTGGTAGAGAGTGGCTTTGGGAGAGCATGAAAGGTCACAATAAGGAAAATGGGGGACAAAGGGCCAAAATGAATGGGTGTGCACGACCGTACCGGATCACAGCCTAGCCTCAGATTCCTCTATCCTTCTTGGAATCTTCTGGAATATTCTATTGGGGGAAACTTTATATATATATACTTTAAAAAAAAATATTAAGGAAGCAGATGTATGGGTGGCACGCGTTACGTCACCGACACTCACAGCACATTCATTGGTGACGAAAGCGTAAACCAATTCAATGCTCACACCTGTACTTCCCTTATCTTAATTAATTGTTTTTTTTTTTTTATTAATTCAACAATTTAAAAGTCAGAAATAATAATTAATGTCTAATTAATTCTTTTTTAATTCAACAATTAAATTTTATTCTCATGAAATCAAGAACAGTAATTGGAATCATAAGTTTAAGCTCTAATAAATTTAATTATTTTTTTCTTAAGTTTGTAATGTCTAAAGTTAAATTTTGTTTTGTTTTATTTTTATTTTTTGCAAGCATATTTTGCCCACCTAAGAGTTCGAATTAAGTTTGTTTATGCATTGCCCGATATCATAACATCAGTTAATTGTCCACTTAACTACATGAAAGATAACAACGTGCTTATATACTTTAGATTTAGATTCTATAATTATATAATTTTTTGTTGTGTCTACACATGTTCGACCTCATAAGAGGGATAATAAATATTTTTTATACAAGGTTTTATCTCAAAACGTTTTTCTGGCAATGTTAAGGATATATGAATAGAGTGACGGAGCATCATTTAGAGTCATGGAGTCCATGTCATCGTGTGTTCACCTTTGTTATAGGACTAAGGGTTCTAACTTATCTTGATTTTAACTTATATTTTGTAAACTGAAGTATTTAATTATTTTTTTATTAACTAAAAATAAATAAAGAAAAAAAAGGGGGGCGTTGGGTTATTGAGAAGGTCCATGAAAGAGTATATATTGGTTACACTACGCGACGGCCCGACCATGATATTTTAGTCTCTGCCTCCTCTGTGTCGCCTCCCATAAATTCTCCGTTGAATTTTCCAATTCTCTCTGTCTCTCTGTCTCTCTGGTTCTTTGTTTTGTTTGTTAGTTTGACGATCATGGAGCTTGAGCACCAAGTTTCTTCCTCCCAATGATTCTCTTTTAGATCCCTTTTTCAAGCCCCATTGCTCTTTCTCTCTCTCTTTCGATTTCATTTTCTTTCCCATTTTCCACCAGAAACAGAGGTGTGAGAATTATGGTTTACTCCTACAAAATGCAAGAAATTGCATCCACAATGGGTTTCACGCTCTCCGATTTCGCCGATACTTTGGAACAAGAACGCACCAAAGTACTCATGTTTCAGCGCGAGCTCCCTCTCTGTTTGCAGATCGTTTCCCATGGTATAAACCCATTAAACCCCTTCTCTGTTTCTTCTTCTTCTTCTTCTTCTTCTTCTTCTTCTTCTGTTCTGATTTGGGTTTTTTGCAGCCATTGATTGCTGCAGGCAGCACCTATCGGAGACGACGACGGAGAATCGTCAATCCGAGTGCTCCGACCAGACTTCCAGCGACATGGGTCTTGTTCTTGAGGAGTTCATTCCGATTAATGGGGTTTTTGATTCTGAACAACCACGACACCTCCATGAAGCTCAAACAGAGAACAACAAGATGAACGACTCTGATTTAAACAATTTGAATTTGCCTCCCTCCGATTGGCTCAGATCTGCTCAGCTTTGGAATCAAACCTCAGATCCTCCTCCTCTGAGTCAGGTAAAATTTTCCCCCATTTCGAACGGATTTTAAATTAAGTCTCGTCGGAAATTTATGCGTTATTGGGTCTGGTGGTGCAGGACACGACGGTTGTTGAGGTAAACAGAAATGGAGGTGCTTTCCAGCCATTTCAGAAGGAGAAAACCGGAGGTGGCGGAGGGATGATGTCGTCGTCTTCAGATCCGGTTCCGGCTGTGGAGACGGGGTTAGGCGGAAGCAGCCGACGGGAAGAGAAGGAAGCACAGAATCAGAGGAAACAGAGACGTTGCTGGTCTCCGGAGCTGCACCGGCGGTTCCTTCATGCGCTTCAGCAGCTCGGAGGCTCCCATGGTAAGGAAGAACATGAAAATTGAGTTTATTGTTAAGGAATTGAATTGAATTAATTTATATGGTTTGAATTAAAATGGCAGTAGCGACGCCGAAGCAAATAAGGGAATTGATGAAGGTGGATGGTCTTACCAACGGCGAAGTCAAAAGTCATCTACAGAAGTATCGTCTGCACACCAAATGCCCCACTCCGACAATCCACAACAACGAGACCGTCCAACCGCCCCAGTTCCTGGTGGTCGGCGGCATATGGGTACCGGCGTCCGACTACGCCACCACTTCCTCCAGAGAAGCAGTCAGCGCCGCTACCGCCAACGGAATATATGCACCGGTGGTTGCAGCAGCGGCGCCGCAACCATTACCCAGTACAGTTCAAAAGCCCAACCCCAGGCCCATGATTCCTTCCTCCTCCGCCGCCGCCACCGCCGCCGCCGAATGTAATTCTTCTACTACATCTTCCTCTACTCGTACTTCAGTTTCTCCTGCTTCTTGAGCTTCGAAGGGTTGAAATTTTGTTTTTTTTTTCTTTTTACTTTTTTTCTACACTTCTTTTGATGTGTAAAAGTTTTGTTACAACATTTTTTTTAGAGGTAACTCAAATAATTTTTATTGGTAAAAAATCTATTTATTTATTTTCAAAGATTTAATTTAGATAATACTTAAAAATTATTATGAAATTAAGTCTAAATTGTATTTTTAAAAATTAACAGTTTAATTCAATTAAAAGAATTAAATTATTGGAAGTTTTCTAAATACAAAATAAAAATTAAGTATTTATAAAAAAAAAAATATTCAAATATAAAATCATTACAAAAATCAAACAATAATTAAAAGTTTGATCTGAAAAATGAGAAGAAAAAAAAAATCAAAGCATTTTTATTGGATCTTTAAAAGAATTATGGCGTCTACAAAACCCAAGAAAATAATAATTCATATAAAGATAATTGAGTACATGCTTGGAATTACTTGTTTCAATTGGTTTTCTTAGGTAAAGGGATTTATTTATATTTAATTTCTAAAATTATAAATAACTTTATTATTTGGTTCCAAATTTAAGAAGTGATTCTGGTATGAATAATTAATCCTTTTTTTTTCTTTTAAATATATATTTATTCAAATATAGGGTCTCTTATCTACAAAAAAAAATAATTAAAATTTTAATCTCACCAACAAAAAAAAATCTATCACTAGAAAACATAGTAAATCTATGTTTGACAAAATAAATAAATAAATAAATAAATAAAACCAAACTAATATGACTCCAAAATTATTGGTTTATGAATTAATTTAAATGATCTTGTGAGTGAATATTTAAATGCTTAAATAAAAGAAATTGAATTAAATTGGATAGACCGAAAAGATTTAATAAGTATTCATTATTTATCTATAAAATTGGATAGACTCGGTTCAACTTCTATTTTTTGTGTTACAAACTGATTTAAGTGATAAAAAAATCATTTAGAGTTTTGTCAGTCAACATTTGGGAGTCTAAGTATGAGATTGCCATAAATAACACTTTGAATGATAATTTCTTTGAAAATTTTACTTATTATTTTAATTTTATAACTTCCTGTAAGTAAGTAATCGAGAGTTACCAAATTTGTCAGTCATAACTCATTTTAGTGGATATTTACAATAGTGACGAATTACTTGTCAATAATGACCCTAACTTCTCATAGTGGGTATTTGAAAAATAGTCGGGAAGTTACTAAACTTGGACATTATTAAATAATTTAAAATTAATGTATAAATTCAACGGTCTTTGTTTCTTTTTTTTCTAAAAAAAATTAATCAGAAAATGAAGATATGAAAGCCAACAAAAATTTGGTGTCCACTTTTTTAACTAACCTATGAAACAGTAATATCCATTGGTTGAGGGAAAATGAATTGAAGTATCCATATATATTTCTCCATTAATCATCTCATTTTATGCAATTATTGTTATAATATTTTTTTTAATAATAAAATTATTAGACATCCTTTTAAATATACATAATTATTAAAATTATAAATACTCAAATATTATTATTTTTTAATTTTCAAGTTCAAAAATACCCCTTTAAAAAATTTCAAAACTAGTCTACTAGAGTGAAAATATTTATATTTTATTTTAAAATTACTCTTGAACTTTTAAAAATATTGCAAGAGCACCCTTTTATTTTTTAAAAGTATTTCAAAAATATTAATGAATTTTTCAAAAGTTTCATTAATACATAAGTATTTTTTAAATAGGTAGTTGTGAATGTAAAAAAAAAAAAAAACAAAATTTAGAAAGATTTTATTAATTTAGCCAAAATAATGCTACAAGCCCATAGTCATCCCACTAAAATTGTATCCTGCAAAGGCCAAACCCAACAAATATTTATTGATTTAATTTCCAAGTTCGCTTTTTTTTATTTTGATGTTCTAAATAGATCTTATTAGAATATTCCAATATTATCGTAAGACAGAAGGAAAATGAAACACACATAATATAGAAGTTTATCCTGGGAAAGTAGAAAGTGGGCAATTAAAGCATTTAAGTTATAAAGCATTATCCCATAGTATAAGACTTACAATCTTTCAATACATTTGACTAATTTTTTTTGTTAAGGCAGAGTGGGAAAATGGTCCCTTGGTTGAATGAGAAGCCAATTCGGGAAATGCCTCTTTTTTATCATACATAAATTGTATTTCTCTACCACCTCTGCTGTGCATTCAATTCAACCCCTGAAGCAGGCCGGTTGTTTGCGCCAGTTTCTTCTAGGATTGACAATCACTTGTTCCCTGCTCATCCATTCCTTTATCACTCCCACTCGCCATTGCACAAACTGTTCTTGGAAGTCTTCGTACCCATTCGTACCCAATGGCTTCAACAGCTACCTCTCCCTGTGCACTTCCCAGATTATGACATAAATGCATAACTAGAGTTGAATGGAAAGTGAAGTCTTCTGTGAACTAAACATTAACATAAAAAATATTGTCATGAACCACTGAAGTGTCAAATCAACCAGTACATCTTTTTGTTTTGAACTGTGTTAACAATGTGAGTACTGCAATGTGAGTACTGCAAAGGAATTATCTGATCATCTAAAACAGTTCAAACTTTCTGGGATCTGTTCCAATTGGATAGCCCACATCTTCAATATTTTAGAAATAAGAACTACTATTGCATTGCAGCCCGTGTTCGTCAAAGCTACCACTTATACAGTATCTCTGGTGAAACATGCAGGCTCTTCAAATTGTTCTCAATTTCGTCCAATCAAGAAGAATATGCTGTGCAATATTTCATCCAATCTCCTACCTGCAAGTGGAAACAAAGACTCAGATATAAAATGTGCCAAATTTTTAATGATAAGGGTAAGTTCAAAATGATTTTGTATTTGGTTACGTAGTCATAAGAGGTACTTTTGAAAATTATATTAAAAAAAAACACAAACAAAAAAAATATTTATAGCAAAAGTAATTCAACCTCAAAAGCCAGATTCAAACTTATTCTAAGGCAGCATCTTATGCTGCAAGAACAGTAACCAAAGTTTGCATTTTCGTCAGCCTTTGTCTGACAGGAAGACAAACAGGCTGACATATAGAAACTCTACAATGTAGCTGTTTTAATTTCCGGATAATACCCTCATCAACTGAAGGGTTGGATACTCGTTGTTAGGCTCCTAACCCTTCCAAAAGATTCTCTTGTTCTCTTTCTAGCCCTTTTTCTAGTCCTTGCCCCTCTTCCTCTGTTTTATTCTCCTTGTTAAGGAAGGCTAATATTCCCGACATGTCAACGCATGCTTGGCAGGTCTTACACGAGGGGTTAACAGTATGGATTGAATTCAAAGGAACTCTTCAATTGGGCCAGCATTAATGCATTCTCAATAGGAAGGCGTCTAAGGATTTGAGCTATCTGCTTTGGAGTTATCAGTTCACTCGTTCTTGAGACTACCTGTTCAATGTTTTCGGGATTTTGGCCAATAAAGGAATTGATGTCTTATGATGGAAGAGGTTCGGATTCATCTTCCCTTCAGGGAGAAGGTGGTAGCGTTCTCCTAAGGGCTGATTTTATGCAATTTTCTGGAGTATTTGGATTGAAAGAAGTCTTGAACGGCCTGGAGAGATCTTGAAAGAGAGTTTGGTCCAAGCCAAGTTTAACACCTTACTTTGAGTGCTTGTGTCTAAATACTCTTAATTACTCGTTAGGTCACCCACGCCATAAATAGGATCCTTATCCTTCGCTACACCGTGTGCGTGAAACCTGGTTTAGAGACCATAGGAAGATTGAACTTGATTGATGGTAGTGATGTCAAAATTGCTAGCCGCATAGAGATTAGACATAATGAAATAAGAATCATTCCTTTTCATCAAATTGGAGACATTTCTTACATCGTTAGGTTCGTTCATGTTTGGCTCCATTCGAGCTACCCTTTTTGTAGGCCCTTTGTTTTTGTTGGCCCATGTTGCTATCCTCTGTTTGGCGGGGAAAGCATGGTTTCTATCATTTTAACACTATCAAGTCCCATTTTCAGGGGAACAAAAACAGATACGTATTGGAGTTTCTTATTATCTTCCTGACTAAATTTCTCATTACTAAGGAAGAACAATCATGACAAAGACCACGGCAGCAGGAAGAATATAATATGAAGTCTCTTCTTCTACCGTAGTTAACCAACTCCAATTAGAAAAGGAAGCTACTTTTGATCATGTGCTATAAATTAATAAATAAATACTTGTAAAGACAAAGAGCCCCCTACTAATCAAATAAGTAATATCCCTAAAACATGCCAGAATTGAAGCCAGCATCATTACTAACCATAACAAGCTTTGTAATAAAAATTACGGCTCGACAGTTGAGAGGAACGACTGGATTCCAAAAACAATGAACAGAACCCCACCTGAGAGAGCAACCTGAAAAGGAGAAACGAAAATATGACTTAATTACGCTGTTCAACAATAATAACACTAAGTAACTAATAATTCAGCGTGAAAAAAGAGCAAATCAAATGTTGAATACAATTTTCTCAGAGATTTGTGACGCCAAGCTCCTTCCTCCAAGGACTGCAGCAGTTGTACACAATGCCTGTCCCCTGAAAGGAAAGTTATTAGTGACACTTCCAACTAGAAAAACAGGTAGGTAACTGTGTTGTTTTCCATTCACATCCAATACGATTATCATCACCAGAAGATAAAAATCAGTTCCTACTGAGACCAATCACTTTCTATAAGCAATAAAACGTTCATTCTTGCATTATAACAACATTTATGGTTAAAAGCAGTTTGTCGATCAACTTTAAAGATTTTGTCATTTGACGCACAAAACTAGAGGATATTCTTCGAAGACCACAGCCTATCTATTGAGCTTGGGGCATATTAAGAAAATCAAATCAAACAAAACTACTGATCGCGGATTACTTATTAGCCAGTATATTTTTTAATAATTGCTACAGCCTGAACAAGTCCAATATGAATGTTAAGACTTTAACAAAAAGGACAACATCAAACGGGCAACGATTAAACCTTTACCTTTTTTTTTAACAAGAAATAATGATAGAACCTTTACAATTGTACATAAGTAGGCAGGAGGTTGCCATAATTTAATAAACAATATATGCAATGCAGTTATCCCAGAGCCTAGTCTCCTACAAGTTTGAACGATCACAACCTAACGGGGAATATTAACCACATGTATATTAGATGGTTGAGATACCAGAACTTTCCAAAAGAATCTTGCTTACGATAATGCAAGATACAGATATCTGATATCATAAGCAATGAGGCCCTAACATGCGCACAATGAATTCCATATATGAATCCAAAACTCGTCTTATGCTCATAGGACAAAGTGTGGTCTCTATTGGGAAAATAGTGGAAAGGAAATTTGTCAACTGAAGAAAAAAAAAAAATCGGAGGGAACAAACTCATGCACGAAGAATCAATCCAAATAGAAGGGTTAAGTTCATAGGCACAACTTACAAAATTCCACCAAGAACGACACCTAGTGGGTCTTCATCTGCAGCTAAGCCAATGGTCGCTAGCTGACAGAGGCAGTAAAAAATAACGGTACTATAGGTGTGAGACAACACCTTAAGTTGGATAGAAAGGTCATTCTCAGTTCTGATATGATACTAACCTGACTCTTGTCACCCCATTCGCCAAAAAAGGTAATGGAAAATGCCTGCAGAAATTCCAGGGGAAAGAGTTAAGTAATCTCACATTTACATTTTACTGAATTATCAGAGGTTACAAAAATATAACCTTTAGATATATTGGTGATAAGAACTGCAAGAGAATTGACCGATTGTGCTTCTTCACTTCATCATCAACCTGTCATGAGGTTAAGCTTTATGATTCCAAAATACCACATAAGCATCTTATATCTGTAATTTCAACATGCCAATCTAAACATGAAAATAGAAATACTACAGCTTCTCCTTCCTAATCTAACAAGGACTTCGACCCATTCTATCCCGTAACAAAATGATAAGAATAATAATCAATTTAGAGAGAGGAAGTGACTTCAGAAGAGAATAAAGTATATAAACGATATGCAAATGGGATTCTGAACACTTAATTGTCTTAAAGGAATAAAGAATTTAAAAGGAAAATTAATTCCCTCATGCAGGTTCACATCATATATCTAGAAGCTCTCCCAAATCCTTAAAAGTTGTTAAACTGGAAATTCTTGAATTCTTTTTATAAACACTATAGGACGGAGTAAATTTTTTGAAATGACTACAATGGGTGACAGTTTACAAGGGGTAAGAGGATGTATAGTCTCTTTCTGATAGTATAATATACCTTATTGCCATCTTTGGAACCTTTTTTGTTAGCCTTCAAATCAGCATCCTAGGCACAAGTGACAGTTGAGGTAAAAAATGGAATCCCAGCTATGTGTGCAGAAGTGACTTAAAAAATATAAAGAAATAAATAAAACCCTAACCAATTTAGCTTCAACTTCAGCTAGTTCTTCAGACTCCCTGTCAATAAAAAAATTATAACAAAAAAAAGAAGTCAATTGATCAGCCGTTCATTTGGTTACTTACGTGCACAAAGAAAACTAAATTAATATTGGGAGAAAAATACAAAATAACAAGAAACCATTACCCTCCATTATTAAATACATCCCATAAAGACCACAGCCCAAAACCAAGGAACAAAAGAGTTGTGACATGATGAGTCAATTTACGTGAGATCTGCAAAAAAACACAATCCATTTACGTGAGATCTGCTCAAAAACACAAAGAATAACTGGAGAAGAAAATGACCAGGGAGGAACCAAAAATGATTAATAGTTCAAGACAACTAAACAAAGGAGAGCATTTTGCCCTAACAATAAGAAAGATTGTAGCTAAATAACAAAGGATGACATCAAAGCTCAAGGAAGCACTTTACCATTTCAAGTTTTAAATTCTTTTGTTGAAAAGAAATTCATTCAGATGAAATGATTTCGTACTCCAACTTACCAATACAACATAAAATACAAAGAACTGATTCCTAACTGCGTTCATCTAAAACTACCACCTTTCAAATCAGAGAAAAAAATATGGATCTAATTGAGTTAATTTCTTCAAAACATGTCCTTGATTTCTTCAAAACATGTCTTATTATTGCTTAATCAACAACCAAACAATTATAGTTTATCCCAAAAAAGAAAAACAAAACCAGCAATTAAATGTTACCATGAAAGAAATTCTCAAGAAGTTCCCTCATCATTCAGTGGCACAAATATGCTCCGTGGGAAGAGGAAACCAAAAATAAAGCAAAGTGCAAGCATGCAGATTTATTGGTTTAACTTGAACATTGCAAATCTAGTATTGTTGCATCTCACAATATTTAGCAAAGATAATCAAATAGCAAATGCAAAATTAACATCTACATCACATGCATACAAAAAATGCGCTTGATGTTGCCACTTAACCAAGCCCTAGCAGATAAAATAAATAACAGGCAAGAATAAGGCATTCATTTCGAGCAATCAATCTTCTTACCAAATTAGGGGCAGCCCAGCCAACCAGAGCAGAAAGAATGGTCATCACCTAAAAAACAGTAAAACTACTAAGCTAGAGGCATTGATGTTGACCGGGAAGGTGGTGGAGGCACATGCGATGAAGAAACAATGTTGAGTAACTTGAAAAAACATACTTACAATCAAAGCTGACAGACAACCAGACAAGACAAGTCTCCTTGGATGCCGCATTGCCATGATCTTTAAACAGAGGATTAAACCATGAGAAAGTGAATAGAAATTTAAGTAGGAAAAAAATCACTGTTCGTCCCTTAGAAAACTATTAGGAAAACAATATTCATTCGTAAAGTTGAAAAATAGTAAATAAAAAAATTGTAGTAAAAAATGACAGGTCTTTCTTAGTTGAAGTAGATAGATTTCGACAGTAAATATTATCAAGGCATAAAGTACAAGGACCCTTCTCTAAAACAAACTATATGATGTTCAATGTCCAATGTTCTCCATGACGACTTCCAATCACCTAGGTCTTTCACATAACAGATCAGACCAAATGTATTATTCCACATGGTGAATATCGTGGTATTGGTATAAGCATCTCATATTTTCAGTAGCTCTTATATAGTTATTAAATGTCATAAAGTAATAAGAATTTTTTAGTAAAACAACAATTTATAAGATGCGTGATTCTCCTTTGTCCATTTCTCAAACATGAAGGAATGTAACAAAAGAGAAATTTTGACCAACTGGGTGAAAGCGAGGGGAGACAGGCAGCAACAGGAACACTGTTTAGGAAAATCAACCGAATCGCATTTCCATCTCCAGGGAAGCAGGGAGGAAAAGTCATCCGGTTAGAGTAGAAGATCCATATCGCAAACTACTAAATTCACCTTTAACTCGTCTTATATAAGGAAAATATTATAAGGTCCTTACGTAGAGAATCTCTCCTTGAAAAAAAGAAAAAGAGGAAGAAATAAAATTCCCTCCTTATGTGGGAATCAAATAAGTCTACACTCCGACCGATAAAAGATAATCCGATAACTACAGAACGTGATATTGAAGCGTACTTTAAAATCCACTAAGCGAAGTAGCATAACATACACGATACATATTCCATTCCAGGTCAACTTTCGGATGAAAACACATTAATTACAAGTTAGACCAGAAGACACTAAAGACAAATTTATGAAAAGAACAAAAAGAAAAAAACAGAAATCCACAATTACGGACTAACCGCAGCCGCGAAGAATGTTTTATCGCCGATCTCGGAGAGCACAGTCATGGCAAGCGACTTGGTAAAACCCTGGAAACATAAGGAAATAAAGAAACAAACATGAAATTAAATCCGAGCAGTACGACGGAAAAATCAAGAAAAAAACAGATCAAAGACCTGGATGACGGAGGTGGCCATGGGTGGATAAAGGAAGAGGAATTAGGAAAAGAAGGGATCGAAGAGGCAAAAGGAGAGGAGCGTCAGAGAGTGGATTCTCCGACGGGCTCCGAGTCCCCAAACGGCAGTGAAATGAAGCGGTGGATGTGACGTCGTCGCTGGGGTCGGAAGTTCGGAATTGGCTCGGAGAAGGAGGGAGTGGCGAGGAAGAAGGGCGTGTGGCGTGGATTCCCAATTTAATGATTCTTTTTTTGGCTTTTTTCTTTTTTCAGAATTTAAAATGATAGAGATTAAAGACTAATGGTTGCGCTTGCGTTTAACAACCGCGGAAATTATTAAATCTTTTTTATATATATTATAATTAAATTACTAAAAAAATAATAGAATTATACCCCCCAACTTTTGAAAATTTCATTTTAACCCTTTATGTTTAAGATTATTTCAAAACAATCCTATTTAAACACTAATATATAAACAATAAATAAAGCAAATGCAAACAGTTCATTTTGTCATCTTTTTCCTAATTTTTCTCTTTGGTTTCTAAATATTTATGGAATCCAAATCTCCAAAATTATTTTCAAGACTTTCTTTTCGAAACGAAAAAAAAAAAAATTCAAATTTCAAAAATTAAAATGGAGTTGTTACCCGACTAAAACGGACAATATCTACTGGTAGTAGGATTGAGTTGTTACAAATAGTATAGAGTCAAGCATCGATTGGTGCACCAGCGAGAATGTTGGACCCCAAAGAGTTGAATTATGAGATCCCATATTAATTAGAGAACGAACCTAAACCAAACTCCTATCAGAAGGGTTTTAAAATGTTGGGAGATATTTTTTATAATTTAACCTTTTTCTTTATTTTGGTAAAGGTTATATTCAATACTATGTTGTTGACTTTTTCTCTCACCAAACTTTTGTTGTAAGGCTAGATTACCAAAAACAAAACAAATCCTAAATTAAATGATATTTTGGCGGGGCTTTTAATCCTAAAATTGGTACAAATTACATCTTAAGCTTATAAAACTTAATATTATTGGGATGCCTTTTAACTAAACAATTTTAATTATTTTTTTTAAACCATCGTAATAAAAGGCATACATTTAAGGACAAGAATTAGTGAGCTAATTAGACCGTTATATAGGACAAGAATTCAAGAGTCCAAGTGAAAATAATTCGAGAATCGAAGAAAATCAAGCAAAAAGAATTTTTGTAACGGTTCATCCTAGAGCACATCGTCAAGGCGCTCCAAAATATGAAGAAATAAGAGAAAAACACGTCTATTTTTTTTGTTGAGGGTAATTTTGTAATTTTTAGGGACAATGATAGATGATGTTTCAAGCATCTTGATGTTGGGACTAGGGCTTTTGTAAATTCATCATTTTCCAATCAAGTTGGGAGAGACCTTTTAGAGGAAAAATGTTCAATTACGATTTCTACTCATTCTTGGAGAGTTCGAGAACACTGGGTCGAAAAAGCTATTCAAGGCTCGGAATTGTGGTAATTTATTTGATTATAAATAAAGAACTTTCACACCATTTAGATGTGGTGGTTTTAGCAAATATTTTCACCCTAGACATTTAGAGTAGTTGATAAACTCTTTGTTATATATGTATTTTTCTTCTCCTCTTCAAATTGGTTGTTGGATGCTATTATTTTCTCCATTCGTATTTGTTTTAATTATTTCACATCCGTTTCACCATAAATTTCTAGTTGATTTAAGCATTACTGATCCAGCTGGTACATTTTTTTTATCTCATTGATGTTGATTTTTTCGGGCTATAAAAGAATGTTCAGAATATAAATTTGTAGTGTGCTATTTATTTATGAATTATAGAATGTACGGTTAATAATACATTTAGTACGTAAAAATAAGAATATACTATCTAACATATTTGTTGATTTTTTTTGTGGATACGAGTATAATTCAATATTATATTTATTTTTTTCTCAATGGTCTAGTTTAAGTTCTCATTTCCATATTTATTGTTGTCACTGTGATACGACCGATGACAATGCAACAATAAATAAAATAGTAATTGAAAAAAAAAAAAAGAAATCGTCAACCATTGTGGTACAATCGACGACAAAAGGAAATTCAAGGAGAAGTTGAAAATCCTAGGATCCATGATTAGTTTATTTTGCTATGTCTCTTTTGATGAAGTAAATCATGCATGATGTGTGTATGTTGCTATGCGTGGATGATTAAGAATTCACCAACTAACCCATAATTATGAACTCGACTCAATTGTCGAGAGTCTACACAATAATTTGTATTTTGTGAGAACTGTTAGGGGTTGTAAGTTAACTTTTGGTAGTGCATGGTTCCTAAATGACAAGGGTCTACTTTAGTACCTATAAGACTATTAGTTTGTACAATATAGTTGAATCTTGAAACAATCCAACCTTTTAGAACCATATGAGTTCTGTGTGGGGCCAATTAGGAGATTTTCAACTTTGTTTAGACATGATCTTATTTAGATAAGGGTACGGAACTACATCGGTAAATGGGCGTTGGTAGGCACGAGGGTCACCCCCTCTTCGATGATAGGGACATTACAGATCCTAGAAAGGAGACATCAACTACACCCATAATGGAGAATCAGTCTCGATGGACAATGTCCATAATGATCTGAAAAAAAAAACCATGAGTTAGAACGAGAACAAGTTTGTGCATTGAGTACCTATGATATGAAGGTGGATGATGATGGAAGTGGACTAGTAAATAACTAATCAAGATAACTTAGAACCCTAAGATAGACCTCATGAAATATTTTGGTATTCGATTGACACCAAAGTCGTCCGAGACACTTGTCTCGCAACGCTTGCCCTTACTGTGACACACGTATGTGCCACAAGGTACCTCGCTTAGGCCATAGGGGACAAAGGTGATGGATAGCTGACATCATACCTCCCCCTAGGGTACATTTGAGGCATTTTCAATCTTCCTTTGGTAGATGTCATTTTGGTGAACAATCATACGGTGTCGTGGAGCATCTGTCAGTGTTTTCATATGCACGGATTTGACTCAAGAACCACTAGCCCAAATTCCCTCCAAAATTTCGACTTTCGAGGTTAAGGTCCTAGACCCACCCTTCAACAAGCTCATCTCTAACACTTATGTTGACATCGTTGCCTTTACCTTGCCTATGCCTCGACTTATCTTTAATGCACATCTATGTGGTGTGTTAGATGATGCACCATCCTCGGTTGCACATGGCATGTATCCTTCTAGATGATTGGACACCACATTCGTATCCCACCTTATCTTATCTGAATTGTGAGGGTCACATCAAAGGGTCACAACAATACTATGTATCCTATGATGACACAAGGCTCCGTGCATATGGAGTTAATAAAAACTATATTAGGATCAAAAAGTTGTTGAGAGTGGGATTTGAACCCACGCCCTTTCGGACCAGAACCTTACCCTAGTCCCTTAGACCAACTCGGCCATCTCAACGTTGGTTGCGCCATAGCCCTAAACTTGAAAATGTAAATCTAAATAACAATGGGAAAAATTAGGGTAAATCTAATATTATTTCAACACTCGTGAAACTATGCTTCTCTTAATTAATTTTGTAGGTGAAGTTTGTAATATAAGAGCAATAAGTTCTGATAAACTAAATGATAATCTATATTTTATTAAACTCGTAATGTCTGGTAATCCATGGTTAGCCATCACAAAATCAAACCCAAAAAACAAAAACATTGAAATCTCAACAATGCTCTTACAACTTGTACTGAAAATAAAACAAGAGAGTTAAAAAGAGCTTGCATTCTGAAACCCATCGCTTTCTCTCTGTGTTTGCCTCTTCCAATTTCATCTTTCTTCAGTGCCATGATCTTCAACAAAGGCTCTGTCTTTAAACGCCATTGTTGCACTGCGTAAAGTCGAGGAAGAAGAAATGGGTAAAAGGAAAAAAGGGTCGAAAATGGGGGATTGGACGTTAGAGATAGAAACGAAGGTTACGTACAGAGATGGGAGAGAGAAAGTGAATTCTGTTTTACCTCTGGAAACAGAGTATTGGGAAACTAAAATCCCAACTCAGATAGCAATAATGAAAAGTCTTATTCTTTCTCTCTCTCTCTCTCTCTGTAATTGTAGGACTGATACGCTATTCTGTTCTTACAAACATACATCAACAGATTTTCTTCCACTGCACAGCGATTGCTTTCTTTCTTCTTCTCTACCCTGAATTTGCTTTCAATTCCTCTGCTTTTGCTACCCTTTTTTTCTTGTTTGTTTCCTGAGAAAGACAGGGAAAGTAAAGGGTGTTGTTATTTCTAGTAAAAATGCAGAGCTTTGAAAACCCAGATCAGTTCTATGTCCATTCTTCTTCTTCTTCCGTTGTTCTCTGGTAGTGTAGAATGGATCTTCAACGACATTAATGGGTTTTGGTTTTTGGGGGGTTTGATGATGTTTTTTTTAACGTCCATGGTGGCTCTCTGTTTTTTTTGTTGTTAAAACAGGGGAGATGACAATGGACGATTCCACACGCGTTTTCTTCCGGATATGGAGCTTCAACAATCCGCTGTTGCTGTTGCTGCTTTTCATCAAGATGATGCTGTTGATTTAAGCCCAAGTATTCTCTCTCCTCTAACTACCTTCTGATTTTAAAATGATTTGGTTTCTTTTCTTGTCTTTTAATATATATTCTTTTTCTCTAGGCTCTGTTTTCGGTTTAAAATCGACCCACAATACAGCTTTTCCAATCCACCTACCGTACGGGGTATTTCAATCATCTCTTTTTTGTCGTTGTATATCTATGAAGCTTTTGAGGGTTAATGGGTTTGTGGGTTTTTGTTGAATGGTTGTGAAGAGGACGGATGTGGGTTCAATAGGAGGAACAGGGTATTTAGACACGGGACAGCAATCGATGCGGTTGAAGAAGCTGGCTCCGCCGCAGACGATGGCGGCTGGGAGCTTTGACAACTGGGGCGAGTCAGCCATGGCAGATACTAGCCAACAGACTGACACTTCCACAGACATCGACACCGATGAAAGAAACCAGGTGCATAAATTGGAAGAAGAAACAGAGGAAAAGAACTCGTTCTTTATCTCTTTCCAGTTTCTTGCAGTGAATGGTTTTTATGTCTGCTTCTTGTTTAGCTTCAGGTAGTTGCACATGGAACTCTCATGGCGGACTCCATGGGTCAATCTAGAGCTAAATCTGTAGATCAGAAGGTCCTCTCATGAAGCTCTTTCCCTACCCTGTTTTACATTTTTCACAATTTAGTGCTTGAAAACTTCAATATGTAACTATTGAATTTGCTCACAGACGCTTCGTAGGCTTGCTCAGAATCGAGAAGCAGCTCGGAAGAGTCGATTGAGGAAGAAAGTAATGCGTTTTTGCTTTTTGAGTGGCTGAAAGTTGTATGATGTCGTTGTCGTCATTGTTGTGCTGTTGTTAAAGTTAGAATTTTGATGTCTTAAGTTGATGAAGGGAATATATTTGGAACATTTATAGGTTTTGGTTTTGGATAGGCATATGTCCAGCAGCTGGAAAGTAGTCGACAGAGGCTTGCGCAGCTAGAGCAGGAGCTTCATCGAGCGCGCCAACAGGTGTTTGGGTGACTGAGATTTCCCGAGTTAAATGATTAATGTGAGATCCCACATTAACGGGAGAGGAGAACTAAACATTCCTTGTAAGGGTGTGGAAACCTCTAACGCATTTTAAAATCTTGAGGGGAAGCTTAGGAAGAAAAGTCCAAAGATGACAATATCTGACAGTGGTGTGTTTGTTCTGTTACAAATGGTATCAGAGCCAAACACCGAACTGTGTGCCAGCGAGGACGCTGGGCCCACAAAGGAGTGGATTGTGAGATTAAACGAATCATTCCTTACAATTTTGTGTTTGATTGATAGCAGGGCACGTTTGTGGCTTCTGGGGCTGGAGACCATTGTTTATCAATGGCAGGAAATGGTAAGCAAAGATGAAACGATGGTGATTACAGTATGCTAGTTTGTAATATGAACTCCTGGATGAACTAGTTGCGTTGTTTCATAATATCATCCTTAGGTGCCTTGGCTTTTGATCTCGACTACGCGCGGTGGCTCGACGAGCATCAACGGCTGGTCAATGATCTAAGAGCATCTGCAAATTCTCAATTGGGAGATGAGGAATTGAGATTTCTTGTTGATGGGGTGATGGCACATTATGATGAGCTCTTCAGGCTGAAGAGCATAGGCGCCAAGGCCGACGTTTTTCACATTCTTTCAGGCATGTGGAAGACTCCTGCTGAGAGGTGTTTCATGTGGCTGGGAGGATTCCGTTCGTCCGAGCTTCTAAAGGTAAAACTGTTTCGTAAGCTTGAGATTGTTCCGACGCACGAATCGACCGAGTCGTGTTTTAGTTTAACTCACTGCTCTTGGATTTGAATGAATTCAGATAGTTGGGAGCCATTTGGAGCCTCTAACAGATCAGCAGCTGATGGGTATATGCAATTTGCAGCAATCATCCCAACAAGCTGAAGATGCATTGTCACAAGGGATAGAAGCTTTGCAACAATCTCTTGTAGAAACTCTTTCCACTGCTTCTATAGGTCCAGCCAGTTCAGGGAATGTTGCTGATTACATGGGTCAAATGGCGATTGCAATGAGCAAGCTAACGACGCTCGAGAACTTTCTACATCAGGTTATTAACGCTTCCAACCGTTAAGTCAACTTTTAGAATGATAATAGACAAACGAGTATGTATGCAGTTAATTAAGGAATCCTTCATGTCTTCTCTTTTAGGCTGATCTGTTGAGGCAACAAACGCTCCAACAGATGCATAGGATATTAACTACTCGTCAAGCTGCACGAGCGCTTCTTGTTATCAGTGATTACATTTCACGTCTTCGAGCTCTCAGTTCACTATGGTTAGCACGACCAAGAGAGTGATATCTAGCTTAGCCATATCGACATGAGACGAAGGGCAATCTACGGCAAGAACATGGCTTCTTGGAACAGAATCATCAAACTTTGAGAACTGTTCTAACAATCTTATTGTGTTTTATCAATATTAAGGGATTATGGGCTGCAAGTTGAAACCTTTTTTGACCCACTTGGTTTTCACTTTGTTCTGTTACCAAATAAGTGTCCTGTTTTTTTTGTTTTCTTTTCCATATAATTTTCTGGATGCTTAATTTGGTACGGTTATATACAGATTAATGTAATCATATCTATATTAATTATTAATTTTTTTTGTTTTGTCGTTCAAAGCTACGAGAGTTTAGGCTCCACTCTAGCTGCAAATGATTCCTTATCATCTTGGTTCTCTCTTTTTAGTTGCGAATGGTCTACGTCCGCAATGGTTAAGGCCACAATTATAAACTATAAGAAACTAGTTTACGACTATGGATAAACTACTATAATAAGGATATGTTTGATGACAATGCTTGGCGGGCTTCGTGCTCGTTATCCTTACTCTTATCTTTGTTGGGCTTTCTATGGCTCTAGTCATAAGCTATGACAGCTCCAACTGGCAACCATAGGGCAAAGCAGCTTGACTGGTCATAGGTAGCCATGGTGCTACCTTGACGGGTGGGATTCATGCTCGGAGGGTGTGAAAAGAATGAGAGGTTGGGCTCGGGATTCTAATGCTCGTGCTAATGTAATTATATTTCATATAATTTTCATAGGAATAAATTAATCATTTTAATTAATATTACGTATAATAGAACTCTAAAAAAAAGGAGACAAACTAGCTAGTAATGGTAGTAATCGTGACAAGAGAAGGTGTGATCTCTATCTCCAACAACTTCATAGTCATGACCATAATGCCAGAAACGGTCCTCCATCTCCGGCTCCGGCAAGTAAGCTACGGCGAAATCAGGACGAGAAGATGAAAAAGAACGGTATTGGTGGGCGGCGAGAGATGGAAACACGGGCGGCCTCCAATCATCATGCTCCAACGAAGGAAACATGGGGTTGGGATTGTGGCCGGTAATGGTTCCGGGGACTACTTGAGCTTGCTCCACCGGTGGCGGTGGGTTTTGATCGGCAATGGGTTCGGGTTCCATTTCTTCGTAGTCGAGAATCTCGACTCTGCGATTCATCTTCCTCCGGATCTTAATGGCAATGTCGGACGGCCTGAATCTGCCAAACACGATCAGTCTGTGACTATCCTTCTCTATCAAATGCTTCTCGATCGCTTAGCCATCGAAATCAACAAGAAGAAGGGTCAATTTCATAGTAATTTTGATGAACATTTTTTAAAATTTTAGTTTCTCTTATTAATACCTTTCATTTTCAAGATAATCCTTCGAAGTTTCCGGCAGCAAGCATTGCAATCGACGTTGATTTTCATAACCATACAGAATTGCTGCAAAACAATGGGAAATTTATAAGAAAAGCACAAGAAAGGAGGAGGAGAAATGGATTTGCTTGCCTTTGGGTGAGACATGAATTGGAGGGATGTTCTTATGTTGAATTGGAAAAGGTGGAGTTGTTTTGTTTGGATTTGATTTATATTTGTGGAGATTATACAATGGAATCTGATTCTGTTTTGGGGTTTAGGGTTTGTTGATGTCTTATAGTTCTTGACTTCCATATTTTTACTTTTTGTGCAAACTTAGCATTGCTTCCTTCTTCTGCCTTTCTCTTTGCATTGCCTTCATGCCACATTCTTCTTCAATCATATTTATTATTTTCCTTTTTCTTTTAGAAATTATGGAAAATAACATTTAGATACAAAATTTGATGCTCTCAACATGGAGGGGGAGAGCTTTGTGATAGCATTAGGTTATCTTTTGTGTTATACATACAAAATAACATTTAGATAGCGATTTGATACAAAGACTGACCCCTCTCCCTATGGTTAACATTTCTAAGCTACCAAATTACAAGGCAAAAATAAGCATCCAATAGATGCAGCATCACCCACCCACTTAACAAAACTCAAATAAATTTCAACTTATTAACAAACAAAATATCAAAAAAGAAATCATCATCATCTCGACATTACCAAGCTTGAGAGAGCAGGCACGACTGATGAAGTGAACAGAGAATCCCCCAGGTATTTGCAGTTCTCATGATCCACTTTCATGGAGTTTGGAGTTGCACCTCTTTCACATGGACTGGAAGAAGTTGATGGAGAAGAAACTGATCTACTCGCCAATGAACCGCTCCCACTGGGTTGGCTTCTTTTTTTCGAACCCGTCCACCGTAATTTGGCAAGTAAACCGTCCTTCGACAGATCTGGAACTGTGCTCAATTCTTTAGTCTTCACTCGATCGCTTGATTGACTTCGATCTTCTCCTGGTTGTTTGCTGTCACAAACAGCATCTTGGCTCAACAAGGTCAACGTCTTGTTAGGGAAGCCATCATTTGCTGGACAGGACAGAATCGAAGTTGCGATATCTGGCCTTTCTTGCATATGCATCCACCGGTTTCCTATCCATTCTCGAGAATGCCTCAAATCGTCTCGCCCAAGAACCAATTCTTGCTTTTCACCTGAACGTATATATTGAAAATGCAATTTAGTGAGGAGGATTCTTTTTCATGGATATCATTTTTCACTCAAACAAATGCGAACCTGGCAAGTAAACTCGAAACTTGTCTTCGGATTCCTTCTGAATTATAATTCCTTCCCACCAACCGTCGTGCCACCATACATCAACGATTGTCCCGACATTGTAAACCAAGGCAGCTTTGCTATCCTTACTGGGCTGTGGACGAATAACTAATCGTCCATTGATGCGTAAACCCAATTGATCACTAGCTGCAACTCTGGATGCTGAAAGCCATTCCTGCAAGCAATGACCATCAAGCTCATATTAAAAATCAGAAAACGAGAAGCCAAAGAGAACCGTAATCACCCAAAGGAAAGCATACCACAAGCTTGTTCGACTCGTCATCGGCATCCTGAAGATTGTGATATTGCACCTTGACCTTGTCTCTGCGCTTTTTTACTATTGAAGCTCTAAACCAACACCCTCGAATACCGCTGTCGTGTGAGAGAACTTCAATCTCAGATCCTACAGATAACTGGCCAGAAGAAGCGTTGTTCAACTCCTTGCCTATAAAAGTTTTAGAAGCACAACCCCATTTGGGACTGAAAACAACACCACTGTTCCTGCGCACGTCAAGAGAAGAAGATATGTTTCCAGGCTTTCTCTTCTCAGTATTTTGCGCATCATCTTTTCTCAAGCGTCGATACCTCTTTCGAGGCCTCATCTCAGCACTCGTGTCATCTTCTGACTGCTGAGAGTGCGTGTGGGCTTTCGAAGAAGAAAGAGCGTACATGTATCTGAGTATTTCTTGCTTCCAATAGCCTTTGATCTGTGTAATATCAAAGGGTTTGATATCATCATTATCGAATTGCTTCTCACATACATACGGCTCCAATAAAGTATGTTTCGCCTCGTTCTGGAACTTCTGAAAATGCTGGGGACTGAGAACAGTCGCCGCCCCATCTATGCATTCAACACTGAGATCTTGAAGACAAAGAGAAAAGTAAATCTCTCTGTCACTAAAATTGTGTGGCAAAACAATATCAACCTCATCAATTTTGTGAAACCATCGTACCACAACCATCCTGTTGCTTCGAGAGTCTTCATACATATCCTCCAAATATGCAACAAGACGTTTGCCTTCCTCGGCTAAGACGTATACAAAGTCATGAACCTAAAAGATTATGAAAAAGAAAATGCAAGATTAATACAAGGCAATAACAAATGAACAGAAACTTGATTCACCATTCGGATAGACAAAAAGGGATGTCAGAGAACAAACAGAACTACTCACCGAGATCTTAAAACCATTGCGACTGAAAGATGGATAGTGCCATCGCTTTCGCTTACAGGTCCATGGAGATCCTAGCCATGAAAAATCTCTGGTATATTGATCCAATTTTATCTGTTGAATGTCCTGAGAAGAGAACTAGCAATAAGAAAACAATAGAACTGGAGAATGCTAAATAACTTGCCAATTTTCAAATACTTGGAAGCCAGAACACATAAATGAATAGAACATGGAACCATCAACTGGTTAAACAAAGAAATAGACCCTCTTAAAGTACTACCTTCTGAGAAACAACAGTCGACGGGCAAGCATCTTCACCTTCTATGTCCATTAAACGATCGGATGGTTGTGATGTTTTACGTTGCAAATCTGGTAAAAATAAATAATTGCATTGATTAAACTATGCACAGATTTTGCTAACTCATAACAAAAATGATAAAGAAGGCATGAAAATTTCAAATAACAGGGGAAGACTAGACATGAAGATGGATGAACTGGAATCAAAAAGACGAGAAGAATTACGGTGCTCGGAATTTAAAATCTTTTCAGGCAGAAAACAGAAAGGTTCACGGGGGAAAACCCAGATAACGAAAATGGAATATTAGCAATCAAAAACACATAACAATTTTGGCCATGAAAGATCATAACCTATAATTATGAGGCCAAAAGTATTCCGTTGCTTCAATCAGCCCTTTAAAATTTGAGTAAGTGTGCCTGCAGCCCAGATAACTGTCAGTTCACATGAACACGAACACCAGAAATCCATGGAAGAAATAACAACGGTATTGACGAATCAAAAGTAGACACATGAGAAAGGGAAAAGGAAAAAGAGATCCGATGAGGCCAGAAGGAAAATCAAAACAAAGGCGATTTTAGGAGAGATGGATTCAGAGTGGCTCATCGAAATGCTGCTAAAAGCTCAAAAACAAACGCAACCCGCTGGATCCCAACCATACAGGAAGACATAATCTTAACTGTGAAATGCATAGTTTCAAGAATTTCGTAAGGAATGAAAACCCCAATGGAGAAACCTCCTGAGCATTCAACAAAGTCGAAGACGAACAAGTAAACCATGGCCCGACCATGTCAAGATTTTGATAGATCGGGAAATTGGAGGACAAGAAACTACAAAATTTCCTCTCTTCATAGCACCAAGCCATTCGACATGGTGATATAAAGAGAGGTTCCAGAGAACCCACAAATGAACTGACCCCCTCTGTTTTGTGTTCTGGAAAAAATTAATCTTTCCCCCAAGATCTTACGACATCCTCTAGCTCAAATATGGAGAAAGATAACGAATTTGAGGGTCGAAAATGAATAAATAGACAAACCCTTCAAGAATCCGTTATAGATTATCTAGATCTGAATAACGCCCTCCACAAACCAAAAACCCCTGACCAACTCAAAACAAAATAATCAAAACAGAACAAAAAAATGGAAGACAGTAAGCTAAAATGGAAAAGGGAAGAAAAAAAAAAAGGGTCGAGGAGAAGAACTTTAGGAACCCCGTGATGGAAATTCCAGAGAGAGACGCGGTAGTACCAGAAACAACAGAGCTTAGCCATTCAACGACCTCTCTGCGAGACTTAAGCTTGGTGAGCGAAGAACTAAGGAAGCGATCCCGCAATGCATAGTGATAAGACATGTGCCTCAAACTCTTCTCCTTCCCCACGACGGCCAGATCTGAACCCCCATCGCCTCGCTTCAGATAATAATGAACCTCTCTTCTCCCTCTATCACTCGACACGAAGACCTCATACCAGCTCACAAACCCACACGCCACCGACGCCATTGTTGTCCTCTCCGGCAGTGAAGCAACTGAACCCACCGCCGACAACCTCTTTACAAACAGAAAAACGGTGAAGGAACCAGCTCGAGAAATCAAAACCCACAAAAATAGACACCTTGGTAGAATCTGAAAATCCCCGATTAAAACCTTGAAATAGATAGAACAGGGGATGGGGCAAAAACCCAGAAAGAAGAATTGGGATATCACTCTGATTGTATCCTCTTCTTCCTAAATTCTTGTATAAAATTAAAGAATCCTGAGGCAGGGCTCCCTTCGAAATATATATAAGAAGGAGAGGGATTGGAGAAGCGAAATTAAAAGATTGAAAATTTATCGAAATAGTATAAATGGCAGAAGCTAGGGTTTCGAGATTGCGGATTTAGGGATAGCGATGAACGGCTAAGATTGAATCGACGAGGATGGCTCAAAGAAATCGCGCGTATTACTTTCATCTTACGAATGCCGAAAACACCCCTGCGAAGTGAGGCGATTTACGATGAGAGCCGAAGCGTGTCTGAGGTGTGGTGTCACGTGCGGTTAGGAGGGTTTTACAACGGTGCGAACAGATGTAGCTTGAGAAATATAGGACCGGTTTTTTGAAGGTTGACCGAGTAAATGATTTTGTTGCCGCTAAATTGGAGTTGAGAAGGTCTCATGCTAATAGAGTTAGTATTCCTCACTTATAAACCCATGATCAATCCCTAAATTAGTCGATGTGGGGGACTTCCATATCCAACAGTTCCGACATAGGATATAAATAGCGATCAAGCTTCTCTTTCAACGATTGCGACTTTTTAGATTGAGGAGTTAAAATTGACAGGACATTGATAGTTTTAAATGTACTTTTCTTTTTAGTTTACTTGAGCTTCCGCTGTATTTTAAAAGTCCATTTGATGCATGTTTTTAGTAGTAAGTCACCTTCATCCATAACCAAACAAAAATAAAATATCATAAAAACTATATATTTTTTTTAATGTAATTCTATCTTTTAAAACTTCAAATTCAACCTATGAACCCAATAGAAACATAAATACAAATAATTCAAAAAGACTTTTCAAATACTTTTAATTACATAAACGCTATAGCAATCAAATAGCACTTTTAGCAATATTCATGTCATCGTCATTCACTTAATTATAACTATCAATTTATTAGGTATTCTATTTCACTCGTTGATATTTGAATGCAAGTTTGGATTAGTTCATACCATTAGATGAGCTAATTTCCATAATAATGTTATAAATTATGATGCTGTGGAACCGCTTCAAGTGAAATTAGAATTTAAGGAGTAGAATTAAAAAGGTTTATTAAATTCAGTTCAGGTCAACTAAGTAGTTAATTTTACTATGGGATGCAGCTTGGTTGGGTTAATTGGTATGGTCGGGTTCTAACTAATTTGCACAGTTAAATCAATTAAGCTTAGGTGAATAATTGTTACGTTTGAGGGTAAATATAATTGGATGAATAAAGCTTAATAAATACTCTATTATAAAAATCTATAATTTTAATACGTTTTTAAATGACACATGAGTTTCCAAGGCCAAAACTAATTAGAGCTATATGACTTTGGAAAAAGTTGGATCTAAATCTCAAAATGTTGAACTCAAAAAATAAACAATATTTTATTTCTAAAAGTTTTTTTTAGTACAACAAATTTAAATTTAAAATTTAAAAAGTAATTAGAAAATTATGCTTATATTGCACTACTACGCTCTCTAGTTGAGTATTGGACGTTAAATTTGATGTAATTGGACATGCACAAAGATGAAGCGAGTGGTCCAACTCAATTGATAAGGCCAATTGGCTCAAGTCCATCACTCACAAGCTTAAGGGTCGAACCACCTAAGGTTTGATTGAAGACCCACTAGAATGACCTATATGAGTTGACCAAGAGACCGACCACATCTTGTTACCTAGAGCATAGAAAAATCTCTTTATACGTAAAGAGAGCTGATGTAAAAGAGGTATGGTGAACTATAACCTCTTTTGTTTCAACTAAAGTAATGTATGACTGCGATTTCTTTCGACAATAACCGCTTTCATTTCAAGTGTATATACTATAATTGAGTCGATTTAGATAGGAGAGTCGCTAGAGCATATATATTTCTTTTCTCTGTGCAAAAAAAGATAATTTATTAGAACCATTTCGGGCTCCAGTCTATTATTAAATATGAAATTAGTTTAAAAGCATTAAAAAAAAAACTTTTAAAGGAAAAGATAAGGCCAATAATATGGCAACCAATGAATAGTAATTGTAATTTGCAACGTTACGCAATCGACCGCAACGAACGGTCAATTCCCTTTATAAAAAATTAAAATAAAAAGAATAAAGGAAGAAACGGGTTGAGAGATAAGAGTGATGACGTGGTAGAAAGCAGGGCCCACACACGTTCAGGCCACGTCAGAAACCGCGTAAAGAATCCACATGAAGAGCAATAGACGTGGAAGCAGACAAGTATATCTCCTGCCATTGGAAATGTCAAAGAAGTATTTAAAAACGAAATGGGCAGTAAAAGAATAATAAAGAAAATGGAGGGGGTGGAAAGAAGAATAAGAGAAAAGTGAGGGGCTAGGGAATAAAGGCAAAAATGATGACGTGAGTGGTTCCAAAATGCCGCCAAAGACAGCTAAGCCGGCCCCACCCTTGGGCGCCGAGCCGCCGGGTTTCCTTTTTTTGTGTTCTTAGATATTTATTTAAAAATTAATTAGAAGTCTATATTTAATAATCGATCAAATTTCCAATTCGTGGATAAAACGTCCTCCCATTATTGAATTTTTAATTCTATATTAAATAATTAATTAATTTTATAAGTTTGTATTATTTCCTTAAAATATAAAATAAACGCAAAATAAAAAATTTAAAGATGGGTTAATATGTATAATCTAAAAATTCAGAGAAAATTATTAAAAAAGATGCCAACTAAGCACAAACTAATTTAAAATATTGTCTTTTTAACGGTTAGACTTATATTCGAATGAAGTTCTTTCGAGATAAACACCTGAATAAACTGATTTCATATATATTTTCTAAATAGTGTTTTAGAAGATATTCTTTGTAACGGCACGTGCTTGAAATCATTCATTTAAATTACTAGCCGTCATGACGTTTACCATTTTGGTGTTACCATGTTTTTTTTTGTATTTTATCTCTCTTATTCTTCGTTTTTTTATATAGAATTGAGGGTGAGTTGCATGATCCTAACAATTGATATCAGAGTTAGGAGAGATTCATCCCAGTTTATGACGATGGAAACTCGAAGATTGGAATAGAGAAGTTTGATGGATCCGGTTTTGATTTTTGGAAGATGATAATGGAAGATTATTTCTACTAGAAAGATCATGAACCCTTATCCGGGGTGAAGCCAGATTTCATGACCACGAAGTAATGAAAGCTCAAAGATCGGCAAGCTCTAGGGTTGATTCAGTTGATGTTGCCTAGAAACGTGGTGTTAACATCATCAACAAGAAAGACAACATCGGATTTGTTGAAGTCACTGTCGAATATGTAAAAAAAAAAAATAGTCAGCTATAAACAAGGTATATTTGATGCATAGATTGTTCAATTTATAAATGTTTGAGGTAGATTTGTTACCGATCATATAAATGAATTTAATATGATTGTAAGTCAATTGAGTTATGTAAAAATTAATTTTGCCGATAGAATTAAAACATTAATTTTGATGTCATATTTATCCGAGTCTTAAGATATTGTTGTTGCTGTGATCAGTAGTTCCCGAAGATCTAAGAAAGTAGAGGTGTATATGGTCTAGGTTGGATCGGGTTGGGAGATTTTTTTGACCCAACCCAAAAGTTCGGGTTTGTTGGATTAGTAACCCAATCCAACCCGAAACTTTTCGCAACCCAACTCAACCCTCTATTCTTGAGTTGGGTTGTCAAATTTTTTTAAATTTTATTTATCCACAATTTATAATTATTCCGATATTGGATAAAATATATTAAAAGTTCACAAACAAACACAAATTCATCTATAATGGTTGACAAAAAAAATAATAAAAAACAACAGCGAAAATTGTAACCTATTAACATAATTGGCATAAAACGAAAGATAATTAAATACCTACATTTTTTAGAATCAGTTTAAGAATACTGTATATAACAAAAATACCCACATAGATCATGAAATTAAATAAACAATAAAAATAATTAGTTTAAGAGTACTGTATATAACAAAAATAAAAAATATTTAAAAATATTTTAATTGAAATATGCTTATTTATATGTTACCTTCCACTATTAGAAAAATAAAAATATTATACATTGTAATATAATAATGTTGCAACAAATAGATAATAAATATAAAATATAAATCATAATTAATAAATATTTGTATTATAGGTATAAAATGTATTATAACTCATTTGTATTATTTGTATTATATGTATAAAATGTATTATAACTCATTTGTATAGTAGGTATAAAATGTATTAATAGTTATATGTTATCTTATTTTAAAGTGTTTTAAAAAAGTATGAAATATTAAGATATTTTTAAAATATATATATAAAAGAAACTAAACAAAGAAATTAAAAAAAAAACATTTATATTATAGGTAAAATGTATTAATAGTTATATGTTACTTTAGAATAAAGTGTTAAAAAAAAAATTGTAATAATAGTTATATGTTATTTTAGAAATTTTAAAAATATTTCAAACAATAAAAATTAAAAATAATAAAATAACAAAATAAAGAAATCATTAAAAATAAAAATATTAAACAAAATGTATATGTATAAAAGAAACTAAAAAAAGAAAATAAAAATAAAAAAATAATATAAACAAAACAATAAAATTAAAGAAAGAAATAAAAAATACAATAAAATTAAAAATAATAAAAGAAAGAAATAAAAAATATTTAGCTAAGGTCAAACTCGGTCGTGAGTGTCTTTGAACTAGACTCAGTACCATTATGATAAACTCATTAGTATGAAAAAATTCTTAATATATTTTATATATTTGTATTTGGTTCGAGATTTACCCATGGACCCGAAACCGAACCGATTCAGTTTGGGTTCAGAAAATGAATTCAACCCTACCCGAAATACTAATACAACCCAACCCAACCCTTATAGTTCAGGTTGGGTTGGTCCAGGTTGTCCAACTCCTAGTCACCAACTCCTAGTTGTCCAGGAGTTTACCTTTTGACCACGTATATTTTCTCATTACATTTTTGCTCTTTGGTTCTTCGTGTTCTTCGGATTGAGATCTTTAGCTACTCAAGATATGGTAGATGTTTTAGCAAATGATTGTGATGCCTTTTAGTAGTGTGAAGTGAGGAGTGACCCACGGAAGAAAAATAAGG